AACTACTGTACAAGGATATATAGGATAAGAAACTACTGTACAAGGATGTCTAGGATAAGAAACTACTGTACGAGGATATATAGGATAAGAAACTAATGTACAAGGATGTCTAGGATAAGAAACTATTCTATACCTAGGATTTTACACGATGTTAGGTGCTTTCCCAAAGGATTTTTCTCACGTGGCAACTTCCCAAGTGGCCACTTTTCGAGTCTATCATAGCCGCAGCGCTCGGCCCTCAGCATGTTCTAGCAGCAGCGGCCGACCCCTAGACCATCCTAACCACAGCGCTTGGCCCCCATTGCAGCCTGCGGCGCCTCAGAGGGCTTAACCTAACCTTTGAAAAGTTGACGCTTGGGAAATTACACATTTGGGAAGTTGTCACTTGGGAAATTGTAACTTGGGAAGTCGCCTTTGGGAAAATGCCTTTGGGAAATTACCTAACACCTTATTTACATGGATTCCTAGGATACGAAACTACTTTATAAGGATACATAGGAATAGGATAAAAAAAATACTGTACAAGGCGACCTAGGTTAAAAGACTGCTGTACGAGGAGTTCTATGATAAGGAACTACTGTACAAGGAAATATAGGTTAAAAACTACTAATCATGGATACCAGGATAACAAACTGTATTACATGGATACCTAGCATACGGAACTACTGTTCAAGGATACCTAGGATAAGAAACTACAGTGCCAATATATATACGGAATAAGATACTCTACAGTGTAGAAGTATACCTGAGGTGAGAAGGTATAGTTTCTGGTGTTCTTGGTTAGAATTCTCAACCTAGATTCCAGCATTCCCATACTTGAGAACGCATAACAGGACCCACAGGAACCCTGGTTCCTCACCTGGATATAAGTCCAGGTTTATTTGTAAATATAAAGAGGAACTGAGGTTTTGCCACAAACTAAAATTTCCTAATCTCTATATCTTTGCAACCTGACGGTATAAACATAGTTTGAAATATCAAATATCGTTGGGTTGCTAAGATATAGGGATTAGAAAATCAGAGATTTGGACAGGAACTCAGTTCCTTTAATCCTTGTTGATAAAATGTTTATTACAAAGGCCAGAAAAGAGAAGTTTTATTTCAGATAGCTGTCGTAATTAGAACAGCAATGAATTTTCAATACATTTAAAGAGAGTTTTTAGCGAACTATTACAAATTAAATAATGAGTTAATTGACTTTTATTTTTATAGTTAATTTCTATAATTTATCTTACGAGTCATTAAGAAAATAATGCATAGCTGGTGTGTTAACGATCTTTCTCAAGAAATCGAAGTAATAATACTACCAATTTTTCATTATTCGATCTATCTAATCTTTTAAAATTGATGAACACTCGTACTCTCTAAGGTCTCCAACTCTACAAGTTCTCTACCTACCTCAGAAACATAGTTTACTCCGTCTACGTTTCTCCAATCCCAGGATTCTGGTAGATATTCTTGTTTTGTAGATCTAGAAATGAAAAAAATTCAGGTAGATAATTCTGTCTAGTAGATCTAGAATAATTTTCTGCTAGATAATCTTGTCTTATAGATCTATAAATGAGTATACTCTAATAAACTATCCTGTCTTGTAGATCTAGAAGTATATATATTCTTGTAGATTCTTCTCTCTTGTAGATCTAAAAATATATTCTGGTAGATAATCTTGTTTTGTACATCTAGAAATATATTCTGGTAGATAATCTTGTTTTCTACATCTAGAAATATATTCTGGTAGATAATCTTGTTTAGTAGAGCTAGAAATATATTTTGGACGATAATCTTGTTTTTATTAATCTAGAATGTATTCTGATAGATAATCTTGTTTTGTAGATCTGTAAATATATTGATATTCTGGTAGATAATCCTGTCTTTCATCTAGATCTAGAAATAATTCTGCCAGATAATCCTGTTTTGTAAATCTAGAAATATATGCGGCTAGATAATCCTGTCTTGTAGATCAAGAAATATATTCTGGTAGATAATCTTGTTTAGTAGATCTAGAAATATATTTTGGACGATAATCTTGTTTTTATAAATCTAGAATGTATTCTGGTGGATAATCTTGTCTGGTAGATCTTTAAATATATTGATATTCTGGTAGATAATCCTGTTTTGTAAATCTAGAAATATATTGATATTCTGGTAAATAATCCTGTCTTGTAGATCAAGAAATATGCTGCTAGATAATTCTGTTTTGTAGATAATATTGTTTTTAGATTTAGAATTATATTTTGGTGGATAATCTTGTTTAGTAGATATTCATGTCTTTCATGTAGATCTAGAAATAATTCTTCTAGATAATCCTGTTTTGTAAATCTAGAAATATATTTTGGTAGATAATCCTGTTTAGTAGATCTAAAATGTATTCTGGTTCTAGTAGATAGTCCTGTCTTTTATGTAGAACTATAAATATATTCTAGTAGATAGTCCTGTCTTTTATGTAGAACTATAAATATATTCTAGTAGATAGTCCTGTCTTTTATGTAGAATTATAAATATATTCTAGTAGATAGTCCTGTCTTTCATGTAGAATTATAAATATATTCTAGTAGATATTCCGGTTTTTTTTATGTAGAACTATAAATATATTCAAATAGATAGTCCGGTCTTTTATGTAGAACTATAAATATATTCAAGTAGATAGTCCGGTCTTTTATGTAGAACTATAAATATATTCAAGTAGATAATCCGGTCTTTTATGTAGAACTATAAATATATTCAAGTAGAAAGTCCGGTCTTTTATGAAGAACTATATAAATATATTCTGGTAGTCAGTCCTGTCTTATATACCTAGGAATATATATATATTCTGGTAGATTCTTCTTTCTAATAGCTCTAAAAGTATATGTATTCTGGTAGATACTCCTTTATTTGCATTTATAGTTAAAATAGAACCCCTTAAAAAAGATTTGCATGAAATATTCTTTCAGGACATTTTTTAAAAATGTACAAAGAGAAAGAGAATTAGTTTCAGGAAGGTTTAGATTCACTTTGAATTAAAGTTCTTACTTATTAAACCAAGCTAAACATTACCAGAAAGTTTTTAGCAGGGTACGGTGCAAAGATTACCTGAGAAGTTTGAGCTTAGGGTTGATTGGAGTAGAAGATGGTTTGGTGGGAGCAGGAGAAGGTTTGTTTCCAAGTTTTGAAAGTTCACCTCCCTTCATCCGTTCTATGTCTTTGTTCTTCAACCCCTTAGATAAACCTCAAATTAAAAGCTTATTCTTATATATTTCTTGTTTTCTTATTACTTCCAGTTTAAACCTAAAGCTGAAAAATTCATTCCCTTAACCAAGAATTTTATTTTAACAGTCCTGATGTTATTTTGAAACTGTATAATATTTACTGTTTTTATGGATCTAGTATTTGGGACTTGAGTTCCCAATGTGTTTCAAAATTGTATACAGCATGGAATACTGCTATTAGAATTCTTTTTAATGTACCTAGAGATACGCATAGGTACTTGATTGAAAGTATTTCACAATGTTTACATGTAAAAACTATGTTAGCTAGCAGATTTGTGTCTTTCTATGAGACTATTGATGCAAGTTCTAAGCTTTGCATTAGATTTCTTTCTAATTTATGTAAAAATGACCTCAACACAGTTCTTGGCAGAAATTTATTTTGTATTGCAAATGATTGTTCTGTAAATCCTTCCGATCTTAGTAAAATGTTAGTTAAGAAACAAATGAAATATTTTGATGTCCCATTGGAACATGAATGGAAAGTTCCGGTTTACAAGAAATTTTAAGTACAAGAATGAATAATTTATATGTTGAAGGATTCGATGATTACGTAATAACTGAAATTATAAATATGTTATGTTGTGAGTAAAAATCAATGTTTTCTTTTTGTGCATAATTTTGCATTTTTTTTTCTCTTTTCTTTTGGAAACCTGTATTTTCAAAAAAAAAATTTATTTAAACAAATTTTAACTACACCATTTATATATGTATTTATATCTTTGTGTGTGAATAAATCTCTATAATATAATAATATCGACCATAATCTTAACCTGGACCTTGCCCTTTACCTTAACCTAGATCTAGACCTAAACCTAGACCTTAACCTAGACCTTGACCTAGACCTTGACCTTAACCTAGACCTTGACCTTAACCTAGACCTTGACCTTAACCTAGACCATGACCTTAACCAAGACCTTTATCTCAACCTAGACCTTCACTTAAACCTTTGATTTTGACCTTAACTTAGACCTTGATCTTAACCTAGACCTTGACTTTAATCTAAACCTGACTTTGACTTAGACATTTAGCCATAGACCTTGAGCTTGATCTTAACATAGAACTTGACCTTGACTTCTAATCTGACTTATACTGACCTCGAACTGCGGGTATGAAGCTGCAACCCATGATTCCTGGCGACTATTTATCAAATCTTATACTGACCTCGAACTGTGTGTATGAAGCTGCAACCCATGATTCCTGGCGACTATTTATCAAATCAACTTTCCAGTTTTCTTGTTCATATAATTCTTCCCCCTTTAGAAAAAATTTATAAAAGACAAATGATAAAAGTTTTAAACATGTATACTTGCCTTATTCCCATAATTCTCACTCTTTATTTGATATTTTGGAACAAACTCAACCCCATTTCTGTCATGAAGTCAAGCTAAGTATACATTTGAAATAAAATTTGTACTTTGAACAATAACATTATTTAGAACTAAAAATTAATTTGCTTGAAATTATGTCTCAAGTCCCATTAATAAATACTACGATACAACTTCATGATGTTCCTGTTCAGCTTCTTGGCTGTAAAACATGCCCAATTTCGTACTGTGACGTCATGGGACCAACCCGGTTTGGTTTGGTTACAGTAACTTAACACACCACCTTTACAAAGTTTTATAAGCTAAAGATTTAAAAAAAATTATTTTCTACCTTTGTTTGGGAGAATTTCATAGTCGCTGAATCCAAAGAAGGTTCTGCCATTAACTGTTACTTCAAACCCCTGAAAACCCAAATTTATTGAAAGGGAAGTTACAAACCGTGAATATGATCCAGACATAGCACTGAGTGAACCACGGTTTGGTCAGTCCCTCCTATGAATTTCAGAATTCACACAAAAATTGCTTTTTTTCTCTACATGATAAATTTATTTTAAAAATTGCTTCTGTTTTTTTAAATTTAAAAAAATTTACCATATCAAAAGTTTTTTTACATTTTTAGTTTTATTTTCTTGCAGACAATTGAGAGCTTATTTTCAAGATTAATTTTATAATCTTTATTTCAAAACCCACCTGATTGTAAACCATTGTCCAGGTTCCAATATTTCCAAACTAAAAAAAACATTTATAAGAATTACGAATTAACTTGTATCTTAAAGTAAATATCTGGGTTTCTACTATTATCTACCTGATCTACTGATGAACTTATAAACATGCAAATATAAAAATGATGAAAGTAGCTTTTTTTCTTTGCTTACGTTTTAAGAGTGTAGCGTTTTATTTATGCAGCGTTTTAGAAGTGTAGCGTTTTTCTAGGTACAGCCTAGTATCTACCCGATCTAATATTATTTACTATTAAATACCTGATCTACTGTTATCTACCTGATATACTATTATCTACCTGATCAACCATTAAATACTTGATCTACTGTTATCTACCTGATCTACTATTATCTACCTGATCAACTATTAAATACCTGATCTACTGTTATCTACCTGATATACTATTATCTACCTGATCTACTATTATCTACCTGATCTACTATTATCTACCTGATCTACTATTATCTACCTGATCAACTGCAGAGTTGGGATACATCAGATCTACTCTTGTCTTCTCAACTATACTGACTAAAATCAAGAAAGGAATTGAGTCTTTGCCACAAACTCTTATTTACTAATCCCTATATCTTCGGAACCCAATGTTGTAGACCTTAGATATTTCAAACTATTAATTCTATTCCATGAAATAACTTAAGTTTGAAATATCAAAGGTTTCCGCCATCAGGTTGCAACAATAAAGGGCTTAGAAAATTTGAGTTAGTGGCAAAGGCTCAGTTCCTTTATATCAATATTATTATCTTTATCATATCATCATTATTAATTCTAACCATATAATTTTTGTATTATTATCATTATTATTATTATTATTATTATTATTATTACATCTAGAAGAGCAATCTATATCTTTAGTTCCACTTCTCTCACTCTCATAGAATGTCCAGGAACCGGATATATCCTCGTAGGAGCAGTTGGCCGGGGTATCCCCTCGCACACAGCCTTTAGTTCAATAATTCAATTAAAAATTTTGTTTTAATCTTAGGTAGAAACCTGTAAAACCACGCAAAAATATTTTGTATTTTTTTCTCATCAGATTTTTATGGTGTTCCATGTTATAGATATTAATTTTGTTAACTGGTAAGGAAAATATAAGGGTAGTTATTTAAGCTTAAAACAAACTCAACATTTGTTTTCAAGCTTTTAATATAAAAAATATTGCAATTTACCTGCAAGACCCAGCAGTATCAAGTACAGCATCTAAAGAATAGCAAAATTTTACTTTTCTTTCTATTGACAGATCGAGTTTACAAAGATAAAAAGCCCAAACTACTAAAATGTACTTCTCTTCATATATTGTCTCTTTTCTTTCACAAATCTGCGCTTAATGTTACTTAATTTTTTATGCAAAAAATCAGAGGAATATTCATATATAATTTGGTGTTGTGAGAGATACCAAATATTCATACAGATATCAACATTATTTACTTTTAATTGGTTGAAAAAAATCTGCAAAACTTGAAATTAGCTTTTTTAGAATCCGATCCTATTCAAAAAATAAGCTTTTAACGTTAACGCTTCTATATATATATATATATATATATCGAACCCAAAGTGATTATACAAATATTTATCATACTTTGTAAAATATTGAACTCAATGAAACCTCTAAAAATAAAGCCTCGGAACCAAATATCTTGTAAAGAAATTTATAAAACACCAACATGTTTCACGTTGGCAAAAACTACCTTTACCCCACTTTTCCAGTAAAATGATGAGTAGAGAATAGTAGAATACTGAGTTTAAAACACAAAGAAAAAACATATGTAGTCTCCTAGGAGACAAATTTGATCACAGGGTGTCTAAAATATTACTTTTCAACATAAAAAACTTTTTTAAAAATAATATTTCAAATGTATGATTATAGATTTGAAAGCTCTAAATTTAAATCGAAGAATGCTTTTTGAAAAAACAATTTTTGTGTGCAACAAGTATTGATGAAACAAAGAAGTGAACTTTAATCCAAGCTTTCTCAGACAGATTAACTCATGAAAAAAAATTTTTTTTTATTATTTTTCAGATTTATTTAACTGGCTTATACTAGTATAAAATAAAGCAAATTCATTATAAACATAACAAAAATATAAATATTTATATATATAAGATATACAAAAATAAATAAATTGGCAAAATAAAGCAATTGAGTAGATACACTAAGTAAAATCATGTTTGATAAGTGAACTGTTCAGAAGTTAGGGATTGTACATATCCTGTGAGATACGGTACTCAGCCTGCTGACAGCTGGGTGTAGGAAGGGTCAGCTCAACCTGCCAAACACGACGGTAAGATAAGTCTTTAATATTTAAAGGTAGTTTATTTAATTTATCTACTAATAATTGGATCATATTAAATGCAGTAGGTAAACGACTCTGTTTGTTTGCCAGAGTCTAAAGTTAAAGAACGAATAGTTCCGACTTAAATGTTAAGGTGTCAGCTTAACTGCCACTTCTGACTTAATTTAAACCTTAATTTTAACCCTGGGTTTAAATATTTAACTCGCTGAAATCATCGAGTTAAAATTCAAATCCAGGGTAAGATATCTTTAATCCCGCATTTCCCCAATTATAAGTAGCAACTCATTATTTTACAGAACTTTTAGGCTATAACTTAAATTTCGTGCATTTTTAAAGTTTTAGACTCAGTTTTATGAAAATGATTTAAGACAAAGAAAAATATGTTATGAACAATTTTGTAAAAACTGTGAGCGTCTTGCCTTTTTGCAATCTGGTTCCGAAAATTTGATCTCACATTTCTCCACCTTCATCAACCCATCCCCAACCTTAAACATTCCTGTCATTAGTGTTCTTCAAGTGAACAATATGTAAATAATATATTGTAGAAGCACATAACGTCAAATTTTAACAAATCCATAATGATTTTGATAAAATTATTTTTCGTCCTAAACTTTGAAATGTACTCATAACATACCTTAGGTACGGAGAAGCAAGTATTCTTTACAATATCTGTACAGGAGATTGTCGGGACGGAGATATTTATATTCTCACAAACCATCTCAAGGTAGGGATAGGATACAGTAACCATCTCCTATATACATTTATATTATTGAGCATACATTTCATTTCGACAAAATAAACACTAAAGAAATATTTCATGGACTATCTGATCAAAACTAAAGTTAAAAATTTAACTAATTTCTGTTTTCAAGGTATTTTTATGATAAATAGATTTAATTTTCTTTTTTTATTCCATTTCTGTCCACTATATTGAGAACAAGAAATCTCTGAAATAGTAAGACGACTTTTAGACCCAAGTTATAACTTTAAATAGTCAAATGAATATGAGACACAGCAATTGTGCAATGTAAACAGACCCCATAATCTTATTAATTGATTTAATAAGTTACTAGTAAGTCTATTTGCTTTGTAACAACATAAAATACACTTAAGTATTGATATGATGTCGTCTTCCTATTACACAAATTTCTGGCCTCACTGTATTATCTATCTATCTCTGACCTCTGAAGGTTGAAGCACCGGTGAGTTAAAGCAAACTTCGTTGTTTTTTATCTAAAATTATTCATGTATAAATTACTATATAAACCTAGACGAAAGCGATAATAATAAACTAATTAATCTCATCACAACCCAATCCTTCTATTTTTGCATCCTGCAAAGATATAGGGATTTTAAAATTAAAACTTTTTTTTACCTCACAATTTTCTTTGGCATATCTTCCGGCCTGATAACTACGTAAAACGAAGAAAACATACATGTAATGATGTAATCTAAACATACATGTAATCTAAACATACATGTAATCTAAACATACATGTAATCTAAACAATTTCAAACTGTTAGAGCTTTGGTAAGTCGACAGGGGCGTGCATCCGTTGGGGACCTGAAAACCCCCCGAAATCCATAGATTTCACTATTCCAGGAGCCCCCCCCCCCCCCACTGACTACACCGCTGTAAGTCAACTATTTTAAAAGAAAATGCTGCATATGATGATAAAACTGTTATGTTTGTATATATTTGTATGTATTTTATTCCTGTTGTTGGTTGGATTGCAAACCTCCAAAGGTCCAGTTTCGCACATTTTCTCCAAACTGCAATAGATAAAAAATGAAAAATAATAATTTTTTTCTACACAAAGTGCAGGACTGAATCCAGTATCACAATTATATCCTTTAAAACCTTAATTATCAGATAAATGTTTATAGGTATAGTTGTTTTTTATCCATGAATTATGACGAAAAACGGCAATTTACGCCAATTTAGTTTCTGCAGAAATCCGCGGTGAAAACTATCTGCCAATTTTAGTTACTGTTAATAATCTGAGAGTCTCTACAAAACTAAATCAAGCTTCATTGTAATATCGTCGTTGTAAAGATTTTCTTTGACGACTTTAATTCTAGATATTTGTATACCTACGCTACTTTTCATTTTTTATCGAGGAATGATACTAATGGCAATGGCGGATAAATTGTGTGCAACTATTTTCATTTTCGAGGGGTTAAGGACATTTTACACTTTAACATGACAATTTGTTATAAAGCATCACTTATAAATTTAAGTAGATTTTTAAAATTTATTTTGAATAATTTCGCTGGATCGTTTTTAATTTTTTACTTTTTCTTAGATTTTACCGCACAAGAATTTTACGTGATAAAACATTAAAGGTTTTGTACAATTGAATATTGATAAATGGTTCAATTATTTTCAGTGGCAGAAATTTCTTTGGCAAATTTTTCAAGCCGACCTTGTTTCTAATCTCACCATAAATGAAAATAAAATAAAAATATGAAGTTCTTAAAGATATTCACAAGATATGTTTGTATATAAGAAGGTTTGTTTACCTTATTTTGATGTTGACAAGCTTAACTTCCATCTGGTGAGTGGTGTAGGTGTATTTACAAAATGAAGTTGGAAAATCTTCTTGTGTTTCAGAACACACAGTTCTAATCATATCCTTTACACATTATTTGTTTTTAATAGAATTTGGTGGAATTAGTACAGTGGAACTCATAAAACTGTGGAATAGTAAGACGACGGTTACGACTTATTATTATTAGATAAGTGATTCTGAATAATTGCATGAAATTAAACACAATAATTTTTCAGTGTTTACAAACCAATATCACTTGACAAGTTCATTTTTAAACTACTGGTAAACTATTTGCTGTTAAACGAAATCAAATACAAACTATGATTGCTTAATTGCTGTCTTCCTTTTCCATATTTGTATGAGTCCCTCTTTACTTTCTTCTAACATGTCTTTAATTTGCAGATTTTAAAAATACTTCTTTTTTCTGGATTTTATAACAAAGATTAAAGTTTTTTACCTTGCATATTTCTGTCTCTATAATATTCGGAATCATCAATTCTTCCTGAAAAAAATGTTTTTGCATGGTGACCTGGATTCAATGCAAGATAGATTGTTACAGTTTTTAAAAAGTTTTATTTTTAGCAATAAAAAGAGTTCATTAAAAAATTTACGAAAAATATTTGTGTAACTTTGTTTTGGTTTAATGGTATTAAACTAATTGACGCCGAGTATATATCCACAAGAAAGGTGTAATTAAAAAAGAATTTTGAACACTCTGGATCTACCTGTGTACAGAATGTACTGAATGTCGGAAGACAGATTTCTGTGTTGAATATCTGCTCTGTTACTGTACAGTTGGACCTTAGATTCGGTATTTAGGTATATGCAAGAGATGATTAGATTGCAAAGAGAAAATGCCATTTTTTATGTTAAAAGTAAATTTCATAAACACACCATTAACAAAACTGTTTTCAGATATTTCAGATTTCTGAGCAATCAAATTGAATCCATATTTTGATTTTTTTTTAAAGAAATGTTTGATTTTATTTGTAAAAGTAAAAGAGTAGAATAATAGTATTATATGAATTAAAGAAGAACCTGGCGGCATTGTTGTACAAAGGATCCGGTCTGGATGGATTAATACCATGGATTTGAGGTAAATATGGTTCGGTAAGCACACTGGTAGGCATTTGGATAGGATGGTGCAAGGAGGTGGGCTTAGGAGTGGGGTAGGACATTTGGTCGGAATTGACCATAGGGTTGAGAATGGTCATAGGGTCGGGAATGGTCATAGGGTTGGAATGGACCATGGGGTTTGAATTTGTCATGAGGGTAGGAATTTTCATTGGGCCAGGCATAGGAATATGATCGGACATGGACATAGGATCTAATATCGGCAAAGGCATAGCATTGGAAATTGAGTTGGGCATAGACATGTGATCGGACATAGGCATAGGACCAGACATGGGCTTGTGAGAGGAAATAGACATTTTTTCGGACATAGGCATGGGTGTAGTCATTGGCATATATTGAGCGCTGGGATTTTTACGGGGCATCGACATATCGAAAGAATTGGCCGAAGGAAGGGATAACTGCATAAAATGGGAGTTACGAGATTTCGGGGTCATTTGGGATAAACTACCTAGATATGGCATTGAATCATATTTAGACATGATGTAGGGATAAGGACGAGAAGAGGAGAATAAAGGATGATTAGGAGATGGAGGAGATGAAGAAGATGGGGGAGATGAAGAAGATGGGGGAGATGAAGGAGAAAGGTAGGGATATCCTGTCCCAAGAGAAGGTGGAAAGAGTTCTTTCTTGTTACCATGTGAGTAAGTAGAATCTCCTGAACCATTTGGTGATTTATAAATGAATATAATAACTATCATCAATCACATTTTTCACAAAGGAACGGAGTTTTATCTTTGTAACCTTTAATATTTCAAACTATGAACCCTATTCCAACCTGACGATGTAAACTCAAAGGTTTACATCGTCAGGTTGGAATATGGATTAAAAAAATTTAGTTTGGGGCAAAAACTCAGTTCTCTTAGCTATGCATATTTTTTATACCTTTTTATTTTTATATCAAAGGGACAGTAAGCGTAATTTTAAGCGACCCTGACCCGATAAGTGTTCAATCAGGATAATTTCTCCCGTCTGTCTTATAAGCAAGAAATGCGCAAGTCACTTTTGCAGAGACACCACGAATCAAAATAAAAAGTTTCAAAATCAAAAACATCGGGTTCTATAAATTCAAACTTGATCAAAAAAAACATTCAAAAATACAATTGTGAATCGGGAATTGCCATCAGTACATGAAGGGCAACTTGAAATTACGCTTACAGTCCCTTAAAAGCGACTTAATTAATAAGTAATAGATGTAAACAAGTTAAAAGACAGATTAAGTAACAAACTTTCTTTATTTTATAAAATCTGACCTATGGTGACTTGAACATGCGATGAATGATCCGCAATGGAATATGGTATCAAAAATGCAAGTAGTACTAACATGACCTGAAATTATAGAACAGTTTGTCATTAAATCTAGATTTGCCTGCCCCTATCCCCCATCATCTTTTTCCTCCCTAAACCCACCTGAACTAAACTCCTCTTACCTTCCCTCCCATAATATGCATTTGCACATTATTTATATTGAGCTATTACGTGTATTTGGTGTTAAAGCATAAAATTTGTTTATTTTAAACATGTGCTTTTCAAGCACTATATGCCAAATTTTGGCCCTGAGAGAAAATGTATGCAAAAAAACGAACGAAAAACGTTGGGATTAAAACACTCGGTTTTTGGTTCGTTTTCCATTTTTGTGAGGTTAAAAATTTATTATTATTAATTTATCAAAATTTAACCGAATATATACAGTTTTGAAGTGGTGTGGGAAGTTTTCAAAAAACGAACCAAAATGTTAACCCTGCCAAGTATACATTTTTGATGACGACCTAAAATATTAATCTGATGATAATGATTTGATTTGGTCAGCAGTTTAAATAAACGGATATATAATGAATTATCTGGCAGAGAAATAAACATATATTAAACAGTCTGACCCTGTATTTTTATATGTGTATTATGTCCCCTGTTTCTATAGTACCTGCATCTCTAAGGATCAAGATTGAACTGTGCCTAGCTCTAGGTGCCGGCATCTACTTATGCTCTCTTTACTCCAGAAAAATGTCAACCGTAGAAATGAACCAACTCTAGTTTAATATTTTCATATGTTTCCTCCATACTTCTCTTATAGATTATAAAATTTAAATTCTACGATTCTCGTTATAGCATTTTAATTATAAACTTCCGTTACATAAATGATTTTGCAAACACACTTATTTGTTTGAATATCCTTCATCAATTTATAGATAGCTCTGTACTTCATCCTTCTAATCCAGCCATGTACTCCACCCTTCTACTCCATTCTAGAACTCTATCCTTGTACTCCATCCCTGGCCACTGTACTTCATCCTTGTTACTCCATTCGTGTACTCCATCCTTCTACTCAACCATTCTACCCCACCCTTCTACTCCATTCATGAACTCCATCCTTTCCCTGTACTTCATCCTTTTACTCCTTCATTGGTCTCCATTCTTGTACTCCATCCTTCTACTACACCAATGTAATCCACCCTTCTACACTATTATTGAACTCCATCCATACTCGACATTTGTGTGCACCATTCGTGTACTCAAACCGTGTACTCCATTCTAGAACTCCATCCTTGTATTCCATCAATGTACTCCATTCTTGTAATCCACCCTTATAGTGCATCCTTTTAATCCATCCATTTATTCCATCCTTTACTCCAACCTTGTACTCCATTCGTCTGACCCCTTCATGTTCTTCATTCTTGAACCTCATCCTTGTACTCAATTTTTGATCCTCTGTATTCTCTTCCTTAACTACATTCCTTTACTTAATGGTTGAACTCTATTCTTGTATTTTTTAACTCTGCCACTAAACGGTTACTCAATCCCTGTGCTAATTTTTATTTCATCATATAAACCAATTTCTAGCTTTTTTGTGCTCAATTTCTGAACTTCATTCTTGTACACTATTACTACACCTTAATTATACTTCAGTTCTGTAACTATAAATGCCTAATCTCCTTCAAAGTACTTTAACTAGACAAAAAACTTTTACTTTTACTCCATTTCTTTACTTTATCCCTGAAATCCATCACAATACTCAAATACAGTGTACTGTACAGTGTACAGTCACTGTACTCCATCCCTGTATTTCATCCCTGTACTCCATCCCTGTACTCCATCCCTGTACTCCATCCCTGTACTCTATCCCTGTACTCTATCCCTGTACTCCATCTTTGTACTCCATCCCTGTACTCTATCGCTGTACTCCATCCCTTTACTCCATCCCTGTACTTCATCACTGTACTCCATCCTTGTACACCATCCCTGTACTCCATTCCCGTACTTCATCCCTGTACTCCGTTACTCTACTCCATTCATGTACTTTGTTCTTGTACTAAGCCACAAATATAAAGATTTTCTTTAATGTCTACAATGTTCAATGTATCTATGATATACAATGTCTCGCTTGCTTCCTAGTTTGTTTGATGCATTGTATTTGCATTCTCCAGTAGTCCAGGGTCCTAAATTTTTGTTGAATCTTGTGATGATAATATCAGTAGCTAGTACAATATGATACCAGTGTATAATTTTATAGAACATATACAGGGTTATGTGAGAAGATTGAGAATTTAACGACGACATTATTTTATTTACAAATTCGACCAAAACAAACTTAAAGGTTTTATTTTTGAAAGTCTTGTCTAAACTAATATAAATCTTTATAGATTGTAAGGATATTAATTTCGACGTTGGGAACGCTCCTAAAAATTTTTCGTTGTTGTTATGTTTGCATATTATAATATAATTAAAAAATATACATCTAAAGTGTACCTATACATTAAAGAATCATTTGATTCTTCATTGCTTTTACTTACAAATGAATAATTGGTATGTTTTAGTTTTAAAAATATACTCAATGAGTCCAGGCACTGCTTATATGAGGATTGTGATCACAGAACGTCAAAACATACTGACTGTTCAGATATCGGATTGTTTTTATAACATTTTATTTCCCTTTTCAAGAGGTAATCAATGTTTTTCATAGATATATATTATATCAGGTTTTATTTTCATAATCTGTTTTTGAAAATAACAATCAAGGCAATAAAATCGTACATTTTGCATTCCTATCCCAGCTTTTACTCTAGTTGAAATCACTGTGGTATATTCTAAGAGGTGTGCTTTATTTATATTTTAATCATGATATCTCTGTGGTTTAAGGCGGGAATTCTAATCTAACTTATTTCAGAAAACTCTGATGAAAACACAACGTCATCATTAAAAAAGTAGATGTCTGTATCGAATGTAATACTTCCACATCAACAGCGCAAGAAGGAAGGAGGGAATGCAGGAGGAAAACGTTTATGGCTAAAGAAAGGAAAGATCAAGGGAAAAATGTGGTCAAAGCTAAAGTCAAGAGTAGAGGGAAAGTACGAGTGAGGGAAAAAGTATTATTAGAGGCANGAACGTAGGAAGGGAAGAAGGGGAAAAGGAAAGGGTGAATTAAATGAAAATGAAAGGTTAAAGAGGGGAGGAAGAGAAGTAGAGCGTATGAAAAAATTATGGACAAATGAAGGGAGGGAAAGTAATATGGGAGATTAATTAAATGAAGAGAGTGGAAGAAAGGGAGGGATTAAAGAGAAAGTGGGGAATCTTTTGATTGATCAAACTTTACCAAGTATTTCTACAGAGGTTTTATGCAACCAGTTCCGACATCTTGGTTCTCAATAGAATATGGAAAATTCACTTATCATAGAGAAAAGAAATTCATTTTATTTCATTTGTTTTTGTAGTTTATGTATTGATATTTTGTTTTCATTGTTTTAAGTTCTACCATAATATTTAACAACTTATGTGGAAACAAATCTAGTGTTTATGAATTATGTATAAACTGAACTAAAATATGATTTTTATTTTTGTCTTACATTCTAGAAAGTTCTTTCTAGGCCTACAAACAGTTTTACAGTCTTTTATACAAACTAGGCTTTTAGGGCGCTTCGCGCCCATCTTCAATTTCAACTTTTAATTGTGGCTTTATCTCTGAACATTTTCTCTTTGTATAGTATAAAACAAAAACAAAAAAAGTTTGCGGATTTCATAATATTTTTTTGCGCATTTTCAAAATTTTTCAAAAATAAAAAACTTTTAAACACAAATTTTTAGAATTTTGATCATTCATAAACCTTCCCTGGGGTCACGTGAGGTCCCACAAAAAATTTGGGCCCGATCGGTTCAGCCGTTTTGACGTTTATTGGATACAAACAAACAGACAAACAAACAGACAAGCCAAATTTATATATAGATACAGTTAATTTTGGTCTGAAACCATTTCCTCACAAAATTCTGCAGAACATTTTTCAGAACAATTTTTCTTTAAAGTCCCAAGAAAGTATGTGTATATAAGAAAATCCTCACTATTTTCCACTTTTGATATTCTAGGATTTTTCAGACCCATCATGTCCAGTACAATAGCTAGAACTGTAGAGCGTCCTATTGGCCGCTATGCGCCTCCTGATTGGCATGCCAGAAATGGAAAGCTTTCTGAGGTAACCAATAGGAAGAGAGTGTAAACAGAATTTCGCTTTCTGATTGGCTATTGACAGTAGATCTAATACATTGTAAATGAATTTTGAAAAAAAAATATTAGAAAGTAATTTTAATTAACACGTTGCTTCATTTATCAAAACACCTGAGTGCCTTGAAAACTTTGGATTAGCTAGTTTCTACTTCAAAAATATTGTGTTTAAACAATTTCTTTAAGTCCTTCATAAGCAGCATGATTTTTGATAACTTCTATGTTCTACGTTGATCTATGAATTAATGATATTAGAATATTTGGTAGATATCCCGGAACACGAGGGACTACAGCCACGCATTGAGACAGGAAGCAAAGCAGCTGAGGATTGATGCTGATGCTAAAACTAAATGGTTTAATTATGAGAACAATGTTAAACTCAATGAAAGGTAGGAATAAATTGGAAATGATAGGGCGGGTGTCTCGGAATAGAGAGAGAAAACAGTTCAGAAGAAATTCTACGAATTTTGTTTACACTGCAATACAATGTATTATGTACATAATAAGAATTACCAGTACAATATAATATATTACATATCTATGTTATAAGTTAATATAGGAGGATGTACATTTATCAATTATGACCTCCGCCAATTTCAACCTCTAGTTTTTGTAGAAATAGTAGGTCAAAATCTACTACTTATAATGTTGTAACTATACCAAATAGGACTGTTATTCTTTACAATCAAAATACCAAAGCTAGCTACATGTCTTATATATTCTGTGGAACTTACACTGTATGAAATGCTCTGAATAGATGGTTAATGAAGATAATGTTTAATTTTAAATCAGCTAAATTCTTACACAAGCATTTATTTCAAATTAGACGGAACAACTAAAGATTTGAATGCAGTAGAATATGAAGATGTAATTGTAAAGTGTAATCAAATAAATACATTTGACCTTTAGAATAAAATTCATAGGCATATGTAATTAATGTAGGGCAAGATAGCTTTAATTCATGAATCTTCGATCATATACATATAAATATATATATATATAGTTAGCAATAGCTGGCTAAACGGCTGTACCAAATTGGCTGAATTTATTTAGGGAACACAAGGGTACCCTGGGTTCTGTGGGGACCACAAATTTTTTTTGCCCGAAGTGTTTTGAAAACTGCACGGGCAACGCCGGGCACTTCAGCTAGTATAGCCTATAAATAAGACTGCAAGCTTGAGTTACAAACAAACTAAAGAATATTGAATGGATACAGGGTGAAGAAATATAACCAACAAATGATCATTGAATGAAAACAGGGGGAAAAATAACTAATGAAAAGTAAATAAATACAGAGCGTGAGACATATAACTAACTATTTAATATTGATCTGAACACAGGTTGACCATATAACTAACTATTGAATATTGATCTAAACACAGGTTGAACATATAACTAACTATTTAATATTGATCTGAACACAGGTTGACCATATAACTAACTATCTAATATTGATCTGAACACAGGTTGACCATATAACTAACTATCTAATATTGGTCTAAACACATGTTGACCATATAGCTAACTATTTAATATTGATCTGAACACAGGTTGACCATATAGCTAACTATTTAATATTGATCTGAACACAGGTTGACTATATAACTAACTATCTAATATTGATCTGAACACAGGTTGACCATATACCTAACTAATGAATATTAAATGAGCACAGGGTGACCATTCAACTATAATTAATGAATATTGAATGAATACATAGTGAGCATATCTAATGAATATTGAATGAATACATAGTGAGCATATCTAATGAATATAAAATGAATACAGGGTGAGACATATAACAGAATGGCGGGATAAGTTGGATCAGTGTTTACGGGATCTAAATCTTGAGATCTCTGTTCAAAAAGATGCAAAGGAGGCTTGTGAGAGAGCTTTAGAAGCTAAGGTAATTAGTGTTATGTAAACTTTAAAAAGTATAGTTCAGAAGACGGTATAGTTTATATACTAGATGATTAGTACTGTAAATAGTGTGATTCAGAAGACAGTACAGTACATGAGACGCTATACACTAGACGGTTAGTATTGTAAATTGTAAACTGTCCTCTAAACTATAAATAGTATAGTTCAGAAGACGGTATAGTACACTAGACGGTTAGTATTGTAAATTGTAAACTGTCCTCTAAACTATAAATAGTATAGTTCAGAAGACGGTATAGTACACTAAACGGGTTAGTCCTGTAAACTATAAATAGTTTAGTTCAGAAGACGGTATAGTACACTAAACGAGTTAGTCCTGTAAACTATAAATAGTATAGTTCAGAAAGGTATACAGTACTCTGCTGTACAGTGAAGGGTACATTACAGTTGGACAGTTGGGGTAAGTCAAAGAATTATAATGTAAAGATAAGTTATTTCAGAGATGTACGCATTTTTAGTACTGCAGTGTACTGTCTTTGGGCGGAAAAGTAAACACAAGACGGATGCCACAGCCTGACATGGGATCCAGTTTCACATAAAAAATCAATGAAATATTCTGGCCATAGGAAACAATTATGTGAATTATCAAAATTATCAAAATTAAATGCTTTTATCCTCCTCGGATACTAGAAGAACACTAATTTAGATCTATTCTTGTCTACAAACGCCGCATAGAGAGAACTGATTTCAATATGTCGCAAAGAATATGCAACAGCAAATAACTTTCCTTGCATTATCAGCTTGGGGTCAGTACTGTAGAAAGTAAAATCAGATAATGAATACAGTGCATGTAATGCTACTTATACTGATACAGTAAAGCTTAGATTTAGTTTTAAGGCAGTGTACACTGTACAGCTAATACGTCATTGGTATTTTTTATTTATCATTATTGAATGTTTTCCTGTAGAACTTACCCTTGGAGATAGCGCTGGAGAACTTGAACACCAGGGAGGAGAGGCTTGAGTTCGACGTGGTCAAGGACGAGGTCGAGGCCCAGCTCAACAACGAGGTTCAGCTGATAGAAAATATTAAAGATAAGCTCAAGGTACAGTTTAAAACTTCAACATATGTAATCAGAAATAAGTACTTACAATTTTGTTGTACGTCATATTTTGAATACAAATTTTTTTATTACTATTATTATAGACTCGGTGTGAGGAGGCCTGGGACTGCCTGGCTAAACTAGAGGAATCAAGGGAGGCAGTAGAACTAGACCTCAGGGTTAGTATTATCATTATTGTTGCTGTCATTCTTGATATTATTGTTATTATTATTTCTATAAATGAGATACACCCTACATGCAGCTCTAGATATAGACATGAAGCAGCTTGATTTAACTGAATCTATTATTAGTATAAGACAGATGCTTTGGATATAGATATGAAGCAGCTTGATTTAACTAAATCTAATATTAGGATAAGACGGATGCTCTAGATATAGATATGAAGCAGGTTGATTTAACTAAATCTAATATTAGGATAAGACTGATGCTCTGGATATAGATATGAAGCAGCTGAATTTAACTGAATCTAATATTAGGATAAGACCGATGCTCTGGATATAGATATGAAGCAGTTGAATTTAACTGAATCTAATAATAGGATAAGACTGATGCTCTGGATATAGATATGAAGCAGCTGAATTTAACTGAATCTAATATTAGGATAAGACTGATGCTCTGGATATAGATATGAAGCAGCTGAATTTAACTGAATCTAATATTAGGATAAGACTGATGCTCTGGATATAGATATGAAGCAGCTGGATTTAACTGAATCATCTGCTGGGATCAGCTATAAACCTGATGCTACGAGGGTTCCTAAAGGGTAAACTTTAAACTGCACCTGCAACATTGAAAGTAAAATAAGTTTATATCTACATGTATTGTCTTGTTTATGGGAGTGTTACACTAAAGACCCTGCACATGTAAAGAATATGCATCTACGCATCTAATGTACTGTAAAGTTAAGTGTTGTACCAGAGACCTTGGTAATGTAAAAGACACATGGAACGTACTGTACGGCAAACCTGATAAAAATTTTAAGTAAATTTATGTACGCATGTAATCTACTGTACAGGAGTGTTGTACCGAGACCTCGTTCATGTGAAGTATTTATAAACATGTACTGTACTGTAAAGGAGTGTTGTACCGGAGACCTGGTTCATATAAAGTATGTATAAACATGTTTACTGTACAGGAGTGTTGTACCGCAGACCTAGGTTCATATAAAGTACATATAAACATGTACTTTACTGTACAGGAGTATTGTACCGGAGACCTGGTTCATATAAAGTATATATAAACATGTACTGTACTGTACAGGAGTGTTGTACCGGAGACCTGGTACACGTTCTCTGAGCACAACAAGATGAGAGCAGAACAAGTAATGGCGGAAAGTCAAAGGCTGAGGTTAATTCTTTAATAAATAAAAATAAAAAAAGATAAATGATCAGAAGACTGAAATCTATCAGATCTGCCAGGACTATGAAGAGATGTATACATGAGACGTGTGTCGTAATTTGACCTGTTTTGTCATTTATTAGTATTCTAAATAAGCAACACCAAAAATGAGAAAAATATATGTTGGAAATGGTCGGCATTTATCTGCGCGATTAAAATTGAAACACTTGAAATATTTATTACTATTTTATTTCTTTAAGGGACTGTAAGCGTAATAATAAGTGACCCTTTGTCTTCATGCAAATAGGGTACTATTGTGAATCAGACACGCTGCTCTTCACTTGAAATTACTTCTACAGTCCATGGCAATGAAATATTAGAACTATACTTTTAACATTTGGTTTTCAGGGAAGCCATCTTCCATACAATAGAGCAGACCAGTAATGATCTCAGGTAAAAAAAAAACAGTTTAAATTATTTTTTTGTAAAAAATCAATATTTAAAACATTTGCTGGATGATTTTTGGTTAAACCAAATGAGATCTATGATAGTTTCGACATTTTAGATGTTCTTTTTTCGTTCTCTAGGGTGCAGCAAGATGCAACAAATTTTGATTTCCGAAAACGCCACTATGAGATGAAGCGGGCAAAGGAGGAACTTGAATACCAGATGAAAACGGTAGGAAAATATAACATTTATAGAATGCAAAATGTGATTAATAAAATTACAAACTAAGTACAGCACTGGTGGAAAATAAAACTAAATCTATTGTTGTTGTTTTTAACTTTTGTAACCCATTCTTTAATAAATTTGTTGATATTTAGACGAACCAGGAGATAGATGAACAGGTTGAGAATATCCGGCAGATGGAAATGGCTATTAGGAACTTAACCGTATTTATTTTTGATTTATCCCATTTCTCCCCCAAATAGCAAAATTGAGGCACAAGTGTTTTTCTGGACACATAAACACACGAAGACATATTTATAGAACCGCGTTTGAGCTTTTTGATAACAGTGTTTAATAATTATTGGTTATAGAGCAAAAGAGAATCCGTTAAAACTCGCGGAGACAAGACTTGAAAACAGAACAAGCAGGTTAAATTTATACATTAATATGTTGTCCATATCCATTTAGGAAATATGTTGTCCATATCCATTTAGGAAATATGTTGTCCATATCTATTTAGAAAATATGTTGTCTATATTCATCTAGGCAACATATTGTGCATATCCATTTCTGAAATATGCTGTCTATATTCATTTATGAAATAAGATGTTGTTAATATCCATTTTCGAAGTATTTTGTCATATCCATTTATGAAATATGTTGTTCATATCCGTTTATGAAAAAACGTTGTGCATATTCATTATTAAAATATGTTGTGCATATCCATTTATGAAAAAAGTTGTTCATATTCATTTTTAAAATATGGTGTCCATATTCATTTTTGAAATATGTTGTGCATATCCATTTATTAAGTATGCTGTCCATATCCATTTATGAAAAAGTATGTGCAATGAACATATACATTTTATCGACAACATATTATATTTTTTTTCAATCTTTATGTATTATTATAGCAAATTAAGTGAATTCCATTGCCTTACTAAAAATCTACTAATCGGTGGTAATTCATGATTAAAGCTGATAAACAATTATCTGTGTTAAAATATTTTTCAATTATTGCATAATGATATAGATATATTGTTTTATCCAATTAAAAAATAATTAACACAATTAACAATTCAAAAATATACACTTGTATCAGTTTGTGCAATGTATAGTCCAAACAACCTCAACACAACTGTGTAAAACTAAGATAAAGGAATTTAGTCTTTGCCACAAACTCTGATTTTCTAATTACTTATTAATTAATAATTAATTAATCAAATAATCTGAGTTTGAAATATCAAAGGTTTATAACTTCGGGTTCTAAAGATATTGAGGTTTAAATATTTGATTTTGTTCCAAAGACTCGATTCTTTCATATAAAAAAAATTCTTTTCGAAAAATATTCATTTTTAATTTGTTTAGACCACATGTAGAGCTGTGTCGGGATGAGCCAATGCAGGGTTTGATCCAAGAGGTGGAAACCTTGCGTGAAACCATTCATAAACTTAATCTTAAACTAGATCACTCCAGGTACCTCGTCAAATATCAGATTAATCGTATTATAAGGTGATAGTTTTAAAAAAATTATTGTCGTATTCGTTTATTCTTTTAATGGTGAAATTTATTATATTATATAACCAATACATTTTTGAAGATATAGCTTGTCAGTTTTAAAGTTACAGATTATAAAATCATTTGCGAAATGTCATAATTTAAATAAAATTAAACGTAGACGAGAATCAGTCTGTTTTCTTTAGTTTTCATTTTGTGTAGAATCATTGTAATAATAGCGTCATTAAGTGTCATTGAAAAAAGTAAGAAGACAAGTTTATATTTTAAAATAATTAAGTCTTTGCTGCAAACTCTAATCCCTTTGTCTTAACCCACAGCCGAAGACTTTAGATATTTTAAGCAAAGCATCAATCTAAATTGAAATATCAAAGGTGTCCACCATTAGTTTGAATTGCAAAGAAATGGGGATTGGAAAATTTGCGGAAAAGACTCAATTCTTTTGAATCATTAATGAAAATGTGAATAAAAATACGTTCAATGGTTTTTTTAATATATTAAAAAGTAAAAATTTTGATGTAAAGAATACAAGAATTCCTTTAATGACTTTTTATTTCTAATTTTATTTGAATTCAATTCTAATCTTAACTTTATTTTTATTTTATTAATTAAATTACCAAAAAACATGTTTACCTCCAAAATACAAAAACAAGTTTTACAATTAAAATCTTTGCTTTTTGTCAGGGAAACCCTTACAGAGCTGGAGGCTCATCTTCATCAACTGGAAGAAGATCATAAAAACAAACAGCTGGCTCTCAGCCTAGATCTAAGGTATAATCCACTTTAGATTCTAGAGCTAGTAATCCTGGAATGAAACTTGTTTTGTTATTGGTAATTCCCGGCACTTGGGCATGACTAGTGGTCGCAGTGCTCCTCCCAAAAAGTGTTTTGACCTAACCTAGCAATTGATCTTACAATATATTTGGTAAAGTCTTTCGTACTATACAAACCTATTCAAGAATGCCAAAATGAACGGAACGGGGGTGGGGGGTCAAGGGATTATATTTTAGACGTAAGTTTTATTGTTTACCAAATCTAAATTTCAGAATTTGGATTGTCATAGAGATTACTAAAGTACATCTTATAGTCTTCTTTTTGTATAGATGTATGGATACACGGAAACGATTAGGAAATCATGATAAGGAAATCAAATCTCAGTTTGATAAAAACCAGAAACTGACCGGGGTTCTTAGGGCAAGCACCAGGTATTGAATACATTTCTTAGCTTTTCATTAAAACGTTGTAATTTTATAACAAACGTTGTCATTTCATTATTTACTTAGTCCTTCAGTTACATATACTTAGTTCTTTCATTAGAAACTTTGTCAGTTCGTGACAAGCTTTATCTGGTTCATTGCTGTCGTAGACCTTAGAAATTTAAAATATCAAAGATTTACACCATTAGGTTACACTTAAATAGGTATTAGAAAATTTAAGTTTGTGGCAAAGACTCAATACCTTTCGCCAACTATGTCCATTTCATATTTGTTTTCTTCTTTACTTTGAGTGGGTTAAAAATACTTTGACTAGTTTCCAACAAATTTTGGTCTTGTTCAATGTTCATGACTGTAAGGTTTATAAAAATCTTTTTTAATTCTTGAGAAACTTTGTCTTGTCCAGGAAAATAAGTTTTTGCAACTTTTTTCTACTTAATTCTACTTTTTCTTACATTTCTGTTGTTTAGGTTTCTGGAGAATTCCAAGCATGCAAAATATTGAGTAAATCCTCAGCAGTACAGTGTACGTAAATAAAGCGAAGTTTTTATGTACAAAATATTGTCTCGAAGCGAACATCTTAAAGTTAATAGCCGTGTCACTAATGTATAGAAAATATTGGAAAAATCCAAAAGTTCAATCAATTTTATAAAGTTTATGAATAACTGTTTAAATGTATAAATTTGAGTTTATCCAAAAAAATTTTAAGTTTGGTAAAAAAAATTTACTCACGTCTTTTTTCAATTTGTTTACAATTGTATTGCTTGTAGTTTTAAGGATGATAAAATTAATCAAAAAAAAGATAAATTGTTTAAATATAAATATCTTTGTATCCATGGTCCTATATTTGTTCTGAAAGCTGTAACCCACTGTGAAAATTAGAAAAATAAACATACACAAACATATCATACAGTATACTTCGCTTCAAACTCTTTTTTATAATTTGTAAATCTTTAAAAATTCCGGGTTTCAGGGATAATAATAAGCTTCTTCACTTTGAAAATTCCGGGTTTCAGGGATAATAATAAACTTCTTCACTTTAATAATTCCGGGTTTCAGGGATAATAATAAGCTTCTTCCCTTTAAAAATTCCGGGTTTCAGGGATAATAATAAGCTTCTTCGCTTTGAAAATCTTAACTTTAAATATTAGGTGATTTTTACAAAAATAACAAAATAACCATTTACAAAAAGTTCGAAATATGCTTTTAAAATGAAAGATAACAAAACACATATTTATTGCAATCTCGGTATGAGTATAAATACAAACACACTTAATTATAATATCACAAAAAACAGGACGTTTTGTTCTATTCAGAATTCAATATGTCCTTGTGCATTGAGGTTAATTTTCCCAGTAGTGTCTTGAGAACTGGTGGTTTCTGAACTACACTGTGTGTAAGTTGTTACAGAGTTACCGTTACGTTTTGTAATAGTTTTACAATTTTTACCGTCCTTGCTTGAGGCGGGAATATCCTTTAAAATGTCTGCTCCATTTTTGTGAATATGATCATGGAAGTTTGCAACTTTTTCACTATCCTCGAATAGATTTCCGAAATCAATATCCTTTCCAAAATCAAACATACCGCCATGGGCCTCGGTTTGAATTTTGTGGTTGGCAAAATGTTGTTTGAAAAAATCCTCCATGGGCCCGAACTCTTTAAACAAATCCTCGAAATCCTTGAAAATATCCTTGAAATCTGTAGATGGTTTGTATCCAGTGTTTGTGTAGAATGAGTTATGTCCCATATCCTCGTACTGTTTTCTACGTTTAGGATCACGTAAAACCTCGTAGGCTTCAGCCACTGCTCTAAAATAGGAGAAATTAAAAACTACATCATCCAAGTTGCAAATCATAATATTGTTAAAAATATGTTGAAAAAAGAATCATGTAAGTGTAATTTCATGTGACCCTCCATGCAAAGAGCTAGGTTAGTGCCCGATTTACAACGGTACTCCTTAAACCTTTGACTGTTTAAAGGGTACCTTTGTGAATTGGGAATGTCCCTCTTTTAAATGGAAGGTTACTTGGAATTACGCTTACAGAGTCCCTGTATATGCGTATTTTACCTGAACTTATCTATAGCTTGGGGATCTTTGCTTTTATCCGGGTGGTATTTGAGTGCAAGGGTTCGAAATGCTTTCTTTATCTCCTTCTCAGTAGCACCCTTGCTTAAACCTACACAGAGAGAAATATAAAATTATAATATCAAAACCAAGGAATAGACGAAAGTAACTCTTTTTTCACCAGTCTGAGGATTGAGACGTGGAAAAGTAGAAATAAGCTGGGACTTAAAAGCAAGACTTTTGTAGAGATCTTATTCTTATAAATCAACATTGGGATTGGATTAATAATTGTAAAAAAACAGAAATCTGCATTCCAATGAAAAAAACTTGATTCCAGCGCCCAAAGCACAAAGCACAAAAAAAAACTAAACTGACGGATTTTAGTGACCTCAATTATAAATATTTATTTGTTGGATGAAATATATATATATTGTTTAGAGACCCCAATTATGAATATTTATTTGTTGGATGAAATATACATATATTGTTTAGAGACCCCAATACTAAATATTCATTTGTTAGATGAAATATATATATTGTTTAGAGACCCCAGCAATACTAAACATTTATTTGTTAGATGAAATATATATTGTTTAGTGACCCCAATTATAAATATTTATTTGTTAGATGAAATATAAATATATTGTTTAGAGACCCCAATACTAAATATTTATTTGTTAGATGAAATATATATATTGTTTAGTGACCCCAATCATTATTTGTTAGATGAAATATAAATATTTTGTTTAGAGACCCCAATTATAAATATCTATTTGTTGGATGAAATATATATATTGTTTAGTGACCCCAATTATAAATATCTATTTGTTGGATGAAATATATATATTGCTTGTGATATGGTTTGCAAGGTGCATGACGAATATTAAAAAGTAATCAAGAAAGTGTCGAAAACGTTTATATAATGTATAGAATTAACCTAGATTACCTAAAACTTTATAGTAATCAGGTTCACAAAGTACAACTGCTAAACCAAACAGAGAAACTACAATCACATATTGAGATCTTAACTTCATTATTAATCTAAAAAAAATTATTAAAAAAATATAAAATGACTAGATTTCAAAATACACATTGCTCTCCTAATATAATTAGGACTATATAAATATTGCCAACTATATTAAAATTTTTTTTAGTAATTGCTTCATTTAAATACTTGAATTAATCTTTGGTCGTTTACAAATCCATTTTTCCAAAGGACAGTGTATTTTTAAAAGAAATGAATTATCATCGCCTCCCCCGCGCCGTTCCTTCCCGCTCCACCAGAAACCAGACAGTTACTAAAATATTTATTTCAAGTTTTTAAAGGCTGGTATATATATATATATAGATAGGTATAAAATAGATAGAGCTAGGTATTACGTGGATTAATACTAAGACTACACGTGTGCAATAAACAATTGTAAAATTTTGCTCACGAAAGAGCTACACTGAAGAATAAATGGGAGGCTTAATAAAAGAATATTTATCAGAATCTAATGCTACTTAAACTAATGGTTTGAATTAGCAGCTTCTGTAAAACTGAAGAACTTAAAAGTATTTCTTTTCTTATTTCCACCAAAACTCCAAACAAGCAAGTTGCCTAAAATTTTAAAGAGAAATTTCGGTTTTAAATCAATGTTAAGTTGAATTATTGACCCCATAACTTTGTTTACATAATAAATGTATTGTACTCCAGTTTCTGGGAGGAATGTATACAAGCTCACGCAGAGATTTGTTTACATTCATCCTCGACACTGCAGTACACCTTTTTATCTAAATAAAGATACCTGGAAGTTCTTTTTATATTCTTTTCTTGTATATATTCCTTGAAATTGGGGCACCTGGTATATTACTAATTTCTACGTACAAATATTAATGAATAAATGTATAAAATGATCAACCATAGCTACATGGATAAATAGATCAAATGATCAACCATAACTACATGGATAAATATATAAAATGATCAACCATAACTACATCGATAAATAGATAAAATGATCAACCATAACTACATGGATAGATATATAAAATGATCAACCATAACTACATGGATAAATAGATAAAATGATCAACCATAACTACATGGATAAATAGATCAAATGATTAATCATAACTACATGGATAAATAGATCAAATGATTAACCAATAACTACATGGATAAATAGATCAAATGATTAACCATAACTACATGGTTATAACGGTAAAACCTTTGTTTATTTACATTTATATACAAAAAATGCAGTACGCTGTGCTGTGTTTTAACAATTCTTTTCATACAATTTTTGAGGTATTTTGGGGAATTTAAAACTGAAACAGATAGTAACATATTTTCTAATAAACGGCCAGTTAAAATTGATCAATTCTAGATAATGACCAAAAAACGTAAAAGAATAACAAATTAACCGCATGAATAATATATAAAGAATTACAACATTTGGAGATTTTGAATGTATGAAGATCTGTGGCTTAAAATCGTGAAAATATACTCTTTCAAGACAGAAAAGGTAAATGAAAGACAACATTAACTTTGTTTTCTTGGATAGTTTACGTAACAACACCACAAGTTTTAAGAAAACGAGCTTGGACCTTCCCTTCTACAGGATTTGGGAGCACTCACTAAGTTTGTTTACATTGCTCTCAGAAAGTACGTGTACTCAATTTGCATACGAGCGAACCAGGTATACTTGATCTCTCTATAGAAGAAGTATAACTATCCGTAGCTAGTTAAACTTCGTTCTCAGCTTTTCAATAAGTCTGAGCCCGGATATATATAACGAGTACAAAAGTACAGAAGGCACAATACACTAAATATATAGGTACACTATATTGGTACTTAGTAAACAGTTATAGGATAGAACCACCTGTTTACTACTTCACTAGTTATACGTATACTCAAGTCTTTATGGTCCCGGGAATAACCTTAGAATTGGTCCCTGAACAACCTCTTCATAACAAGTAATAATATGAAATGGAGTGAAGACTTGACTGGATTACGTTAAAATTTGAAGTAAAGAATTTAAATGCTAGACAATAAATAATGTAGTTCCTATCAAATAAACAGCTGATCATGCAGTAGGCAGTTATCAAAACAGCTAGGCATGATAAAGATAGATAGATAGATCATATCTTCCTATCTCAAGCATACACCGGCTGGTGGTGGCTAACACACACACCAACACTCAGACAACAGACTCCAGGCTTTCCCCTCTAACTCTTCACTGTGTATCTACACTATTTACCTGATACCAGTTGATCCATTGCAGTACTACACGATACACTATACAGAGATATACTATATAGAGATAAAGTATACCATGAAAGCTTTACAGTGACATACATATGTATGTAATGTACACTGTAAATTGATAAAATTGTCAAGTGTACACTGTACGAAGATAAGCAGAGATAATTTGTATACACTGAATCATAAGGCATAGATATTGTGTACACTGTACAGTGTACACTCATTGTGCAGAGTTACGGTGTACAGTACCTAATAATTGATTGACGTCATCTGAAACAATATTTTTTACATTTTAAACCCTGACAAGACTTCCAAAGGTATCTATGTACTACATTTACATTCCTCCCACAACTTGCAGTACGATTTTATTGTCTCAACTGGAATCCTGTTAAAAAAATATCTTGTCTATTTTTTGCTTCAAAGGACCAGTGTAGCTTTTTATTTATAGCTAAATTGTTCGACTTCTCTTTTCTCTGTAATTTTTCCTTCTTTCGTTTTTCTCTTTTTCTTGGGTTTCTCTCATCCTTTATTTCTTTAAGATAAAATGATGAATAAATTGACAACTTCTTATAAAAAGAACTGTTCTAGCTTAAAATCATCCAGAAGTCAGAACTATTGTGTTGTGAATCTTGGGATCAAATTCAAGCATTGATGACTGATTAATTTAATTCCTCTCGGGTATCCCATGATGATTGTACCAAACAAGGGTGACTAAAATAAAGGGATCTAGCCATTTTTCAAATTTAAAAGTTGTCATAGTGTATATCGAGCTTAAGCGCTGTAGATAAGCGTCATTTCACCCAACAGTTTTGACTTTGCACCCCTATTCCCTGTTTTAGTTTCATTGATGCTAGGACTTTAAAAAATTGCTCCGATTTTTGTTTTACACATCGTATAAACGGCGAGGCGGCACAAAGTATATTTTAATATACATTTATTCATACTTGCAGTCATTGAGTAATAAATAGTAAAATCAAATAGATAATCAAGTATCTATTTGAGTAAAATTATATGTCGGATTTATTGAATTTAAATATGAAGTTTAAATTATGTATTTTATAAGTAATTCGTCGGCTACCACAAGTGTTACTTTCAAATCGATTTTATTATAAAAATTTAGTTTTATCTGAAAAGTGTTCTGTCACACATCATGCAAGCAAATATGACTTGGATCAAGCCAAACAAATTCCGGTACCCCCCCCTTATATAAACCTATTTCTAACATGTGTACTAATATTTTCTACCTAAACCTTATCAGTGATATTAGTCCAAGCTATCTTTTTAGCAAATACAATTTAATACTTATGTTGAGATATACGCTTGAGTCAGTGATAAAACTAAATCTAATTTTAACAGTTTTTTTAATGCAGAGAAGATGAATGAATGAATGAGTTTATGACTGGAGGTGAAGTATAAAAAGAGATAAAAAACGTGATCAAGATGATGACAAGGATGAGATTAATGATGATGAACTGGAGAATGAAGATCAACTTCAGGCTCATCCGACTTTTCATGATCTTCATCTATATCATAGGAACCGTTCTTGTCATAGTTCATCAGTTCGAGTAAGTTTTATGATTTAACCGATCCATTGGTGATTTACATCTTTTATTCACAAATCTGTATCTCGAGTCTGTATCCATATATTCTAAATATCGTACATGTATTTATAATCTGTATCCCTAGACGGTATAATACTATTCTGTATCTCTTATCTGTATCTTAAGTCTGAATCTTTAATCTGTTCTAATCTGTATTCCCAATCTTCATTCCTGGTCTGTATTCCTAATTATTCCTGGTCAGTATCTCTTGCCTCGTGTATAAAATCAGTATTCTTAGGTTGTATTTTTAATCTGTATCTCTAATCTGTATCTCAAGTCTGTATTGATAATCTGGATCTCTAATCTGTATTCTTAGTCTATATCCGTAGTGGTATTTCTAATATATAACTCTAGTCTACATCTTTCTCTTCCCTTTATCTGGATCAAGGATTTAATGCAAGGAAAGTTATTTCAGAGGTGTGCGCATCTTTTGCACTGCAGTGTACTGTCACTGGGCGGCAATGTAAACACAAGACGGATGTCGAAGCCTGACATGGGATCCATCTTTCACATAAATAATCAATGAAATATTCTGGTCATAGAAAACTATTATGTGAATTAACAAAATTATCAAAATTCAATGCTTTTAACCTCCTCGGATACTAAACGAACACTGAGGCATTTATTCTTGTTTACAAATTCCGCCCAGAGAAAACTAGTTTCAACATGTACGCAGAGTATACGCAACTGCAATTACCTTTCCTTGCATTACATTCTTGATCTGGATTCTGTTTTCTGGATTGCAGCGCGTACTATACTAATCTGTATCCCCGCTCTCTATTCCGTATCTCTGGTCTTTATCACTGATTTGTATCTGTGTTCAGAATCCGTTGTTTAATGTAAAGTCTGTATCTAGTCTTTATCTTTAGAATAAGTTAACGACCATCTAGTATGCGTTGTAACTATACTTATTTAGCAGAAAGTTTCTGATTTCTATACTCCCATAACTATTCTGTTTTGATTAAAGTTTATATTTTTATTCTTTTTCATCCAAACATTGTGTTATTTTTAGAGCAAGCTCCAGACCTCGGGAGGAATTAATGCTTGGACAGATTCATCCCAAAAACCTAGATCCATCAAAGTATAGTATATAGTGTGTCCGAATTTAATGAATTTAAGCCGCGTCTTAAATCACCCAAAAACCGGTTTCAAATGAGCGCCGGCTTAAATCTTTAAAATACAATTTTAAGTGGAACCAAATGCATTTGAGCCGCGGCTAGCCGTGGCTCAAATTCTTTAAATTTAAATTTAATGCAGTATAGTTCATACTAGATCAGTATATTATAGTGCAGTACAGTAAAGATTGGTTTAAGCATCTTTTTGATAAATTATTAGCTAGAGCACCCGCAATTGGCAAAGTTTAAACTACATTTTGAAAAAATCTAATTGTATAGGCTATCACCCCCCCCCCCTTCCCCAGGTTTCCATATATTCCCTAAAAAATATTAGCCAATGTGGTCCAGCAGTTTTGCCAGATATAACGTACAAAAATATATGTCATATGAGCAAAAAACTTTAATATTTTAGATTAAAGATGAACAATGTTTGCATAGGAAAAGCAAAAAATTTAAAAGAAATTGATTCTTTGCCACAAACTCTGATTTTTTAATTCCAATTTCTTTTGCAACTGAATGTCATAGATAATTCAAACTATCAATTATGTTAGATCAAATAATCTAAGTTTGAAATATCTATAGGTTTACATAATTAGATTGCAAAGAAGTAGAAATTCAAAAATTTGAGTTTTTGGCAAAGACTCTATTTTAAAGACAACCTTAATCAGATTTTTTTTCATAATTTTGGTTTTAGATATTCTGTAGAACTTATATAACCATTTATTATTAAAATGTTTCTTTTAGGTTTATTGTTGTTGGAGAAAGTATGAAGGATTTTCGAAGAGGTGGATTTCAGGTTATACACTTTCTCAATATCATTCAAATATTTTAACATTTGATAAATAATTAATCAAGATTGTGGATATAACAAAAACTAAAACTACAGCGCCTGAAACTCATACTGAATACTTGAATACTAGAATACTAGAATATTGAAATACTTGTTATGAATAACGAAGAGCTATCTTTGAATCTATCTTAATTTATATCATGCATTAAAAATATACAGATGCTGAAAATATTCTTAACATCTGTTACTAAACTGTTCAAGTATAATAAAAAAGCTGTTCGCTAATCTGGATGAAACCATTATTAGAAATCTAATATTTTTCAATTAGAAAATTAAAAGAATTTATCCTAAAAAGTGTAAAAATTACCTTTTATTTTCTTTTTGGTTTATAATTTTACAATCACAAGTTTTTAAAAATGAATATTTTTTCCCAAAAAATATATATCTACAACTTGATTTTTATTTTAAGGATGACTCAATCCCTGACTCTGTTCGTGAATTTGAGAAAGGGTTTGAAGATGGGGTTGGAGAGAAGGGGAACGGAGTTCATCTAACAGGAGAAGAGAAGGAGAGAGGGGACAAGTTAGAGAAAATTTGGGCTTTCAACAAGGTCAGACATTTAGTCTTACTTTCCCGACAATGTAATATTCACAAACGGAATTTTTACAGTTTTTAAATGTCCCTCTACAGTTTGAACAGTTCGTTCGTTCTTCCTTATTTATTATTCTTTTTTATTATCATTTCCTTCGTGTATACTTAAAACTGAAGAAAAAAAGAGTTTGTTTCTCCTAAAACCCTACCTTTTTTCTACCTCTTAAACCGTGGTATTCTTCATACGCCTCTGATCCCCTAAGAAAAAATAATTGTTGAATTGATATTATTGCAAACCGATTAAGGACTATAAAAATCTTGTTTAGGTGGCGAGCGATAAAATATCCTTATGGAGGTCACTCCCAGACAAGCGTACTACACAATGTCGCAAACTCAAATATACAGAAGATTTACCTTCGAGTTCAGGTACACTGAAATAAACCTCTATTACAAGAAAAAAGTGCAACTAGGTGGTATGGTGGAGAGGGGAGGTCAAAGAATCAATTTTGAATCAAAATTGTTTGGCCCAAAATAATTTTATATTTTTCCAGTAATAATAATCTTCAACAATGAAGCTCTCTCTGCTCTTCTGAGAACAGTTTGGAGTGTTCTGGACCGAAGCCCAGCAGATATTCTAAGAGAGGTTGTAGATTGCAAGAATTTAAAAATTCCTTAGGATTCTTTCATATTTTGCGTTTTGTTCTGACGTTTGAAGTTTTAAAACAATTTCGTGATTTGTTTTTAAATATTTACATATTAAATGGTGAAATTATAAAACTTCATACGTTCACTTTTAAACAATCCGCACACAATCTTTTTGGGGTAAATTTAAACCTTATTGTTTTATGAAAGTCTTTTTCTTTTATTTTTTTTAACTAATTAGATTAAACCATGATATTTTTTAACTTTAACTATTTGAAGTAAGTTATCTAATCATTATATAGTATTTAAAATCAAAATAAACTTGAATTAATTAAAAATTATTCAACAAGTTTCAGTTTTCACAAATGGATTAATTTTATTAATGTAACACATGTGAATAGTAGGATTAAAAAAATATGGTTTGGAGAACTGAAAAACGTCTGTGGGTCAAAGTGTTTTGTGTGAATTTAAAAAAAATCGAAAAACCACTAAATTTAATTTTATTGATGATTTTATGAACCAACAAATAAAGCCTTATTCATTGCCTATTAAATTATGTTAAAATTAGGTCAATATCTCAAATAGCAAAAAAGTTATGGTAATTTGAAAGAGCAGCCTCTTTGCCGAGGTCAAAACTTCATGACCTCGGAGGTCAACAGAGTCTAAAAGTTACTGATTATGTAATGTCTCACATAATATTTAAAGTTTGAAAAAAATCGAAGGTGGAAAAGGTGGCTGATTTCAAATGGACTGACCCCTGTTTGTTAAATTAAAGATACTATAACCATCCATTATGAAAATAGATTCAAACCAGAGCTCTTTGTTTTCGTAACTTTGTATTTGTTTTTAAATTCCTGGACTTTTCAATTAATTGATAGATGTATTGGTTAGATTATCCTTGTTGATGACTCCAGCAATCATACTGATATTAGTGAGGTACTCCCTCTTTACATCAAGCATAGACTCCCACCTAAGGTGAGTATTGTTCACTCAAATGTACTCTCTTTTACTTACAGAAGAATTAAATTCAATTATTTATTTTTGGACTCCGCCCTCGGGTTTTTTTTATTCCGACGGGGGTTTAAAATTGCAATGATTAATTTTTCTGAGAGTTAATGACATAAAGAGCTGGTTTTAACATGGACTTGTATAAATAAGTTTTTAGACTAAAGGGATTCATTGAAAATTGTTTTATACAAAAAATGATTTTTCTAAAAGAATAATTATTGATTGTAGTGCACAAGAAAATTTAATTGGATTCAAATATACAAAAAATGATTAGATTTTTAAAGAAATATAGTTTAGAATTTATTCATTTTCAAATTGCTATTAAGATTTAAACATACTGATAATGTTAATTCTAGGTTGGCTTGGTGAGAACTCCCTCACAGCTGGGATTAATCAGGTAGATATTAGCCCTATCCAGGTTCGCTATCTTTGTCTGAAAATAGTTGCGGCAGGCAAAGCCCCCTTTTACCCCCCCCCCTCTCTGTCATTTTGCCCTTGAGATGAAAGTTGAGACAGGGGTTAAAGACATGTTCATTTGTGAAAATGCAATCAATGATTTTTTTAACTGCAAAAGTGTGTCGAAAAACTATATCAAAAATCCAAGTAACTTTAACACTTACTAACACTTATCCATCCATGGATACTGGAATTTTTATAACTTTTACCTGGCAACATTTACATTTGAAATTCACTTGAGATAGTATCAATCATCCTCGACTAATACTATTCTTGCTGGTTAAATGCTTTTCAATTGTAATAAAAGGCTAATCCACCATATCAAGATACCAAAAATCCAAGAATAAAGATGTATGTTGTATTTTGTACTGTATAGGGCCAGATTGACTGGAGCTGAGGTCGCTACCGGAGATATTCTGGTTTTCCTAGATTCACATTGCGAGGCAACAACAGGTTATTATTTGAGGAATAACAGAACCATGTTTGGAGGGGTGGGGTTGCGAAAAAGAAAAGGAGTAAAATGGGAATCTCACCTAAAATTTACTTTCCTCCAAGTATTTGATATAAACCGTCCTCAAGTATGGATTAGGCTTAGATTCTGCCAGTAAAGAATATATCGCAAGGCCAGCTATAGCTAACATAGATAATATATATATATATATATATAGTTATATATTATTAAAAAAAAGTACCAATACATAAGAATAATTTTAAATGTTTTCATCTTGAAGCATATAATTTATGAATTATTTGTTGAATTCTTAACAAATCTGAAAACCTACGTGTATAGTATTTGATAGTTTTTTTTTATCAGGATGGTTAGAACCGATGGCTCAACGGATCCTGGAAGATCCCACGGTTGTCCAGATTCCCAGGATTGATATGATCGACGCCTCGACGATCTCCTACTACGGAGGAGGAGGAGGGGACGTGTCTGTCGGAGGGTTTACCTGGAGCGGTCATTTTACCTGGGAATCTCAACCCGCTGAGGTACACCAGAGCCCACGATTTAAAAAACTCGGGAAAATACGGCTCAGGTCTAAGCTGTCGTTGGACCTTATTTACGGCTTGAGCTTTCGGATTCAAGTTGCATCTTATTTTCCACAGATTTGAATTTAAAAAACCGGTTTAATGTTCTATTTGGCGGATTTTCAAGGTAGGAATTGGCGCCGAAGTTTTTAAATCGCGGGCTCAGGAGTCAGGACACTTTATTGTACTGCAAGATGAGGACTAGTGACATGAGCTTTAAAAAGTTTAAAAAACATTTCTGAACTCCGCTATGCTTTGTAAACTGTAAACTTAAAACATGTCTTAAATGCTGAAAAGAAGAAAATAAATGCTGAAGTGAATTTCATTTCATCTTTTATAATCTTAGATTTAAACGAACTTTTTCAAGAGATTATGAAGACTAATAAATATTATAAGTTAAACAGTTTAGCGCGTAGACTCGGTAATAAACAATTTAGCAAAACCAATTTTCATAAAAATTCAAGTTAGCTACTTAATTAACATTTTACATGACTATCTTAGAAGTTAGATTATTAAATTCTCCGATACATGTAGAAGTTCTTGAGGTGTAAAGTATGGCGAGGAAAGCAATTAAACAAAGTTTATATCCCTAAACTAACAGCGTAGTGTCTAGTTACCACTCTATAGTAATTTTATGAATTAATATCTCGGGATCATCTATCTTATAATTATCAATTAAAAGTACATAAAATTGTAAACAAATATTTCTTATTTTTTTAGATGACTTGCAGTTAAGTCGCAAATACACAACAATTTTATTACACTACAAAAAAATTGGCAACTCCCAAAAATGATCGAAATGTTATTATAATGAAAATGCCTGTATTTTCTAATGTTAATTATTTAGGTTCGTAAGACCCGTAAACCAACAGATCCTGCTAAAACTGCTACTATGGCTGGAGGTTTATTCGCAATACAAAGGGAATTCTTCTGGAAGATCGGAGGTATATAGAACGCGTGTATTTTGAGACAAGTCATTCTCAATTAAAAGTTTAAATTGATCCTCTATCTATACAAAGAGTAACATATTATAATTTTTCTCTAGTATCTCCATCATTTTCAATCAGACAGGGTTGCAAGAAAAGAACAACATTTTCAGCCAAATTTCGACACTTTTTCTCATTATTTTTCTGCCATATGCATTGTAATAAACAGGGTTTCAAAATAAATATTTGTTTATAAATGAATAACTAAACTCCAACTTTTATCTATTAATCTTTTTGACACTAAAGGATATGATGAGGGAATGTCAGGTTGGGGAGGAGAGAACCTTGAGTTGTCCTTCAGAGTTTGGAGGTTTGTTCTAGTTTATCTGTTTAACCAAAGACCTGGAGAATATAAAATATTGAAACGTCGTGTTTAGATGTGGTGGTAGCATGGAGATTCATCCTTGTAGTCAAGTTGGACATATTTTCAGGGACAAATAGTTTTCTTTTAAAAGATAGAAATCGGTCTCAAATCCCGAAAATGTAAATACTTGTTATACAATACACATTACGCATTATGCAGACAAGGATACTAATTGAAAGAGGCTTTAAACATAATTTTTAAACAGACTTTGGCACAAACTCAAATTTTCTAATCTTTATTTCTTTAAAACCTGATGTTGTAAACCTTTGATATTTTAAACTTTGAAATATCAAAGATTTACACCATTGCATCAGGTCAAAAAGATAATAGGAATTAGAAAATTCAAGGAAAATAACTCAGTTCCCTTGGATCAATCCGATGAATTCGATTCATCCCTCCTTTTCTAATAATTAAAGCTATTGTTAATAAACTATTTATTCTCCTCTGCAGACCTTTTCATCCATATTTTATCCCCCACGACAGCCATGGGATAAACACAGCAAGGATGGCTGAAGTCTGGATGGACGAATTCAAGGAATTAAAAACAAAAACATTTTTGTTCATCTACAATTTATTTTCCATAATGGTTGTATAACTTAGAAAGTTTTCTGTTTCAATTTTTATTGTCTTTTTTTTACAACAAAGGAATTTGGGTTTTGCAACCAACTTAAGTGTTCTAATCCCTAAATCTTTACAATCTGATTGTGGTAACTACTTGATCTACCAGAATTTATAGTTCAGAGTGTATGGCTAAAACTCAATTCCTTTGAGAAATAATTATAAAATGTGTTTTTAATAAAAAAGAGATTTTTCTACATGCATCGAAATGATCTGAAAGGAAAAGATATTGGAGATTTATCAGAGAGATTTGCAATTATAGATAGGTAACGTTACTTTATTCTGGATACAATAATTAAAGATAAGGATACATCAATTGTTATATAACTATACTGTTAGTGAATTATAGATAGGTAACGTTACTTTATTCTGGATACAATAATTAAAGATAAGGATACATCAATTGTTATATAACTATACTGTTAGTGAATTATAGATAGGTAACGTTACTTTATTCTGGATACAATAATTAAAGATAAGGATACATCAATTGTGATATAACTATACTGTTAGTGAATTTGTACATTTTCGAAACATCTGCTTTATTTCTTTAAATGAATCTTACTTTTATTTTATAACATTACATCTACTACTTGAATTTTTAACGAAACATTTCATAATAATAGTTTATTAAAATATGTTTTTCTTTATTTTTAAGAATATCCATTTAGTTATTCCTATATTTTTCCAACCTGTTGGTATTTTTAAAAACCAACCGGTTACAACATCAGGTTAGAAAACTAGAATATTTGACGATTTATAGATGGAAGCATTTCTTAATGTTTTCCACTGTGATTGATATTTACCACTATGATTGATATCTACCATTTCATGGCCGGTTAATATAATGCTCGATATATTATGATTTCTGTTCAGATTACAGTGTAAATCTTTCCGTTGGTTCCTTGAAACAGTTTATCCTCATAAATTCATAATGGATGAACAATCTTTAGCATATGGCAGGTAATAATATTTACTTCAGTAGTTTAAAAACAAAACAGGAACTTTAATTATCTTGATAACAACAATAATCATTACAAATCAGCGATTGAAAAATATAAAGTAAGGATTCTTCAGCTGAGCTGAAGTCTGTTAAATGTTGCAATAAATATATTATCTAAATATATGTGGATTGTAGATAATTGTTCATGAAATTGTTCAGTTCATAACACTTTTTAAATAGCTTATCTTTCAGGGTGAGAAATAAAAATGCGGGCAAAGAAATATGCATCGATCATCTTCAAAGAGATATGGTGAGGTTTTCTAATCATTTACCAGATATAATTACATCAGGCGAAAAAAATAAAAAAATAATGATTTGATGAATCACCAATGTCTAATAAAAAATGTTTGCAATTTCAAAATTGTGTCTTGAAATAAGTTCAAAATATTCGACTTTTCAGAAACTACTAAAAAAAAGTATGTTTCTAAACATCTGTTGCAATAGCTAAAATACAAAGATTTTGGTTTCAACAAAAAAAGGGAGTACATTGATAATAATCGGAAATTACAACCTCTGAGCTATATTTTATAAAAATAAAACTTTAGATATTATTTTTTTTTAATTTTTATTATTTTTTTAGGCGCACAAACTAAGCAGCTACATTCTTGGAGAATATCCCTGTCATCCCTTCCTTGGAGATTCCCAGTATTTTTCTCTCAGTAAGAAAGGAGCGCTAAGGAATGAATATATGTGTGGCGAGGTCACCAAGAACAAGGTCAATGATGTTTTGAAGGTCAGTTGAATTTATTTTTTCTTCTTCCAGATAATATTTTTTTTCTGAATCAGCATGTATCTTTGTGATCCAAATATTTCTGGTTTAATTTATGAATTGCTTTGGTCAGTATTGTGAAAATCACCCTTGAAATTAAAAAAAAATGAAACCATAATTTTGTCCAATTTTTTCCTTTAAAATTTTCATATTTTCTGGACAGGAACTTTAACGCTTATTTTTTGACGGTCAGTGCCGTCAACATTTTGGGAGTTACCGCCTGAAAACCTTTTTTATTCAGAGTCAGGTTCGGATGACCGCATGTCGGATTGAGGGTGGAGGAAACCAAGAGTGGGAGCTAAACAGTATCGGACAAATAAGGAAAACAAAATTTTCTATTTAAAACTGTTTTTATTCGTATTATTATTTTTATATTTCTCACAAAACTGTGGGATAAAAAATAGCTTCTCTTCAACTCTTAAAGGTAAAATTACATTTTATGAATATTTTTGTTTTTCAATGTTAACAGACACCTGGAGTCAAATCTATGCCTGGACAGTGGTTCTCAGATACCCGGAGAAGAACTATCCATGAATGTATGCAGCACAACATCTTCACAGATCTGGACTTTTGAATTCTACGCAGAGGGGAAGGAAGGATTAAAACCGTCAATTTAGATAAAAAATCTAACGATTAGGAAAAATGAATTATGCAGGGGCAATGTAAGTAACAGTTTCCAGTAAAGTTTAAAGTTTCTACTTCCTTCGTAATCTGCAATAAAAGAAACTGAGCATGAGTACATCAAGATATTTTATGAGAATTTGTAATAAATCAATTATTTTTCTGTCAATTTATTGAACTTAGAAAAAACATATAATCTATTTCAAAATCCCTGATAAGTGTCAGTTTAAACCTAGAAATATTTAAGAATGATAAACAATTTCTGTTACTTATTGACAGGTTTTCATAGGTCTACTATTATTTCTAGAAATTAAACAAAAAATATTTTTTCAACTAGTTCGAGTTAAGTTATCGCAATAACCATATCAAAAAACAAGTACTTAAATGTGATACTAATGTCAGAATTGTTAAAAATATATGCAAAAGTTTAGCCTTATATATTAGATTATTTTCTAAACAAATTAAAACCCTACAATGATATATAACTTGCACATATTGGTAAAATGTGGCCAATCATAGGAGTTCTTTTTGTGTTTTGTGTTTTATCTGTGATAATTATTTAAATGTAATAAAAAGGTTTTCATGTTAGCGTTTATTTATAATGTTAAAGCTGTAAAAGTAAGAAATATAAATTACATTTTGGTATTTTTTACATGTAGAGATATATAAAAATGACCTTTAACGTCAGAGAAACAATACATTGAATGGTTTTAAACTTAATAAAAAGGAACTGCGGACTCTTGCCACACACTCTAATTTCGATTTTTGATTTTCTAACATTGATCATTTGATTTACTTGAATTCATAGTTGGAGATATTAAAGGTCTACACATGGTTGCAAAGATAAGGAAAGTAGAAAATTATAAATTGTTTTAAATTTATTTCCTTTGACATCTCTTTTACAACAAGCTGTTAAGGGTACCGTTGTAAATAGGGCATTGCTATTTTCATTGAAATTACGCTTAAAGTCCCTTTAAAGGGGGCATACCCGATTTACGACGGTACCTTTCAAATCTTTTTCTAAGCAAAGTTTATCAAGGTTATGTTGCTCTTTTATCTAAAAATGGATGGTTTCAAATTATGATTTTCTTTATGGATTTTAAGATTTTAGTGCAATAGAAGCTAGAAATTGAATTAACAAAATTATTTGTTTTCATGAAATAAAAAAGACGATATCTCAGCATTGCTTCCTGGATCCTAGAGAGGTTTAAAGAGCAGAGTTGTGAATCGGGCATGAAACTCTTGAATTAAACAGTCACTTGGAGACACGTCGACAGTCCCTTATTCGTTTACTCCTCTGTTTCTACGCATTCTGCTTGAGGTAAAACTTCTATATCTTCTAGTTCCTGTCTTACACAATCTACATACTGGGATATCTCTAGTACTCGGCTCCTAGACCTTCAAAATCAAGGTTGTATAAGGTTGTTTACTCTAGATGCGCTCCAATGTACGGGAAATGTCGTCTCCTGAGCATAGATAGATAATTCCTAATATGATTTCACTGATTATAGAGGCGAGAGTGACGTCATATGAGGATTTTATCTATGCATGCTACGGAGACAACATTTTCCGTACATTGGAGAGTCGACGGTAAGCAACCTTATTATAAAACCTTGTTAACAATACAGGGAGTCAATGAAATCATTCCGACAGAAAAACAAGTTTTTTTAAGTAATGCCCTGCACAATAACTGGTATAAATTGTTCAAGAGCCTAAGTAAGGTTAACTGCGCAGTAATACCCAGAAAACTGGAATAGGAAGACGACTTTTAGACTCAAGTCATGATTTTACATTGTCCAATGACCATGAAACACAATAGTTTTACAGTGTACACCGATTCATTTCACATAAAGAGTAGATTTTCAAGCTATTTGCTATATAACAACATCAAAGACAAACTATTACTTAAATTCAACAGCTTTATGGGTGTCACGACAACTATAATATCTTAGATATGTTTTTTTTATAGATTGACAACTTCGATTTAATATAGATTAGAAAAACAAGAACCTTGTATAAAATAAATGAAGGATTCATAAGTCTCCATTACATTCTTTATATTTAGGATAAGAGACCTTTGATACTTTAATGTTATTACGTACAATAATATTTAATCTTTCAATTTTCTGCAGAAACAAATGCTAAGAAGTGTCGAGGGTCAACCCCGACTGAAATATATTTTCAAAAATGTGGAAATATAACACCTACTTTATTTACTCTATGAGGTTTGGAGTATATAAACACTGAATTTTAAATTGCTAACCTGTTAAATTCTGTTTCTCTAATGTGTCTAAAATGATCTTCTCTCCAAGTATTGACTGCCAACCGTAATCCCTCCTGCCGTCTATCCAGTACCTTCTAAACAAATACTGGCTAAGGACATTAATCGTATCACCATTATTATTAGTATTTTTTTTGTTATTATTATATTGTAAAAACCTGATGAGCGTCATGACATAAAGCGACTAGACTGAGTAAAGTATCCGTCCTAATTCCTCCAAAGGTGTCCACCAGCTCCAGGAGATACTGGATTGTACAGATATTATCATATTGACACATTTATTCATACTTTGATTATGTGCAAACCCCATTTGTATTTTAATGTTTTATTCCTGTTATTTAATGGATTATTCGCTTAATAACATAATATCCTAAATTTTCGGGAATAGGAGCGAAAATGAGCTCATCTCACAGCTTGAATAGGTATTCCTGATTACCAGAATGATATATAATCTCAAGCGAAAATAACCATCGCACTATTCTTTGAATTTCTTTAATTTTATAAAAACAACGATAGAAGAAAAAACACGATGGTTATTTTTGAAAGAATTTTTTCCATTCTGACATTCAAAAATGTATTTTGTGTTAACAATTCCTTGTACACAAAGGCTACTTAAATCGAAAAGTGTCGAGCCTTTTTAGGACAATTATTAGGTTCACAACATACAACATCATAAGTAAAAAGTAAAAAATATTGTCTACCTGAAAATATAATGTCTCTAGGTCTCTTGCTTCTTGTAAAAATCCTCCACAACTGTTTAGAAATCTAGCAGTCATTGATCCTAACTTCTGTTCATAAGCCTCTATCATACTCTAAAATATGATGTTTAGTCTGTTAAAAGTAGCACATTAAAAAATATGGTTTGTATTTTTTAAATATAGATCGTACTTTTACATACATGTACTTTAACTGTACCTCTATACTATTTATCAGAATAACTTCATGCTTTAGAAGATTCTTGTTTAGTTCTTTACACTTCATTCTATACTCTTCTCTGAAAATAAGTTTCAATTAACAGAAAATATTCGTTTATTAGAATGTTAACCCAATAGCAAAATAAAGGTTCGCAGACATAGGGTTAAACGACATTGGGTAAACGACATAGGGTCAAACGACCCAGGGTCAAACGACATTGGGTAAAACGACACAGGGTCAAACGACATAGGGTAAACGACACAGGGTCAAACGACATAGAGTAAACGACATAAGGTCAAACAACATAAAGTAAACGACACAGGGTCAAACAACATAGAGTAAAAGACACAGGGTCAAACGACATAGGTCAAGCGACCCAGGGTCAAACGACAAACGGTCAAAAACGCGACAAAGGGTAAATCGCCAAAAGGTCAAAATGGAAAAAAGTTTATGTACTATTTCAGTGTTAGGTGAGGTAAAGACAATTTCTTGGCCGAGCGCTGCAGTTATGACATGCTAGGGGGCCGAGCGCTGCGGCTACTAGTTCTAATGAACATAAAAATAGTTCAAGTTTGCTCGTTTGTCGCACTTTTTGACCTTATAATTTGTCGTTTTACCCTTTGTCGCGTTTTCGACCGCTTGTCGTTTGAACATAGGTTATTTACCTTATGTCGTTTGACCCTAGAGATCCTTTGACCCTATGTCGGTGAATCAAAATAAACAAAATGGAGCATTTCCATAAAATTAGGTTCTACTTGAGATTGATTTTAGCTTAAAAGGATTGTCGACGTTATGCAAGCGACCCTTTAAATCCTTTTCTTAGAAACAATGCGGAAGTTTTTTTCGTTTTTTTTCTGTCTTGACAAGAGAGGCATTCCGCATAGAGAAGCATTAGACACACTTGAAGTTACGTTGGCAGTGACTTAAATTTATATTTTTTAATCTTTGTGTAAAAATCACTATAATGAAGATATATTATATATCACCATTCTACGATCTTAATATTTTATGTACATTGAGAACCAGAAATCTGTTGAAGACGGCATAAACCTTTTAGAATAAATAGTTGTACTAGTAACTTTTTAAGTTAAATAGGTCTGTTTACACTGCACAATTGCTGCTAATTATTGTAATATTTAAAGTCATAACTTGAGTCTGGGAGTCGTCTTCCTATACTAGAGTTTTCTGTTTATCACTATAGTACCTGTAGGTTTCTACCTCTTGAACCTGAAGTTCTGATATAGAATCTGGATCCAGATCCAGTAACTGGTCTCCTAGTTCTATCATCCTATCCAGCATATCCTGCTTAACCTGGTACATAATTATTTACATAAAGATTAAGTGTACACAATAATCTTCTATATTCTGACATGGTTAAAGGGGGAGATCGGCGTGCTGGACATGGTAGTTAATGTAAGAATGCAGTATTGTAGAGAAATTTTCATTTTAGACCTATATAAGACGTTTTTACGGTGCATTTAGTTCAGCAAGAGTACATATTGTAACTTGAAAATTCTCCTAAATTGTTCATTTTGGAGGGATGATTTTATGAATCGGTTTTTAAAATAATATTCAACGACGACCACGAAAAATGTAACAAAACTCTACGGTGAACTGAACAGTTGTTTCGGAACAGACTGAGAAAATAAAAATTAACTCTACAAAACTGCATTCTCAGCTCGACTACATGTGTATGGCCAGAGACTCCCTTTAATGGGTTTCACTATCTTACTGATAAATATAATTGATTTGTCATTCGCAATATATATAAAAATATTACAATTTTCTCGGAGCTGTGTTTTTAAAACCTTTACACTTTTTTGTGCAATTCCTGATGACGTCACAAAAACTTCAGTATCCCCTATCGAATGAATAAATGTGTAGAAAAATTTACCTCTGAAAATATTTGAATAGTTTGTAAACTATCCTTCTCTAGTTCTAGTTTAGCTAGATCAATCCCCTCATCTATTCTCTTCCATTCAATCTCTCTGATTTACACAATAATAAATCTCAGTTTTATCTGGTTCAAAAGGGACTGTAAACGTAATTTAAAGTGACCTTTAGTCTATAGAGTGGCATATCCGATTCACGACGATACCCTTTAAATCTTTATAAGATTATCAACGACACAGATATCCTTATTTTTCTAACTAATAAAGGAGTAATCTTGCAAGTGACATTACAGTTTCCGAAAGCCCTAAATTATCAGCAAGAAAAATAACATCATCGAGCAGACAAACTTAAGAGGCTACTATTGTAAATTTAACATGCCATCTCTACAGTTTCTTTAAGAAAGCAACATATCTAAAAGTATTAATTTAATCCATTTAATTTGTAACCTTTCTTCTAGTTCTTGTAGCCCAAGATTGTAAAGTTTACTCAGAATAACCAGAAAATCATTCTTGAACTTCTCCTGACATTCTAAATAGAAAGTTATCAGTTTTTACTTTTTTTTAAACTTACCACACTGAAAACTCCGGTTCATTTAACGGACGGACATGTAGTTAGGACAAGCTGTACCCTGTACAATATACATAGAGGCGACAAGACGGGACAGTACACCTACTGAATTATCTCCTAGAGGCGACAAGACGGGACAGTACACCTAATGAATTATCTCCTAGAGGCGACAAGACGGGACAGTACACCTACTGAATTATCTCCTAGAGGCGACAAGACGGGACGGTACACCTAATGAATTATCTCCTTCTCGACTCGTGAGATTATTGTGACCAAAAATGGGAATTACACATAAATGTATTTTTAGACAAGCTGTCAGTATTCACACTTTATTTCTCACCCCTTGCATATAATTTTACCTAGAGCTTTCTGAACCTCTCCAACCTTTTCTTCTTCCGTTAAGTGTTCAGTAAACATACTGTTTAGCAGATCTATTCCTCTAAAGTAGGATTAACATTGAGATACCATGTTATATTCTTCAATTCAACATTTTCGCACATATTTAAAGGGACTGTATGCGTAATTTCAAGATGTCAATGTCTGATTTACAATGGTACCTTTGAAGCTTTGTTTGATCAAATATGAATTAGATATCAATGTTTTGTTTCTTTAAACTGTTTATTTTCTTTTTCGGTCTCTCTGCGGAAGTGACTTGCGCATTTCTTGTTTTTAAGAAACAATGGAGAAACTCTCAGCAATAAACACTTTTCGACTCAGAAAAAAAAACGGCAATTTACACATTTTTGACCTGATTTAGGTTTCAAGGGTACAGTTGTTCATCGGGCATTGCCATCTTAGCACAAGAGTCACTAGAAATTAAACTTTAAGAAAATTATACCAATCTTTTTTCTTGACATCCGTTTTTATCTGAATAAGTAACTGTTTACCTGAGTTTATCAACAAATGCTTTTTTCTCTCTCTCCTTCAATTCTTTTTCTTCCTTCTGTAGTTTCGCTTTACTCTCCTCATTCTCCTCCTTCCCCTGGACCTGGGTATTTTTCGTTTATTTATTCAGTACGTTTTTTTTTCACATTTGTAGACATTTTAGATAATTGACTATTTACCGATACTTTCTGAGCGTAAAACTAGTCGTTTTATATATATAGGATTGAAATATTAAATTAAATAATTGTACATCTTTTATCTGTAGATAGAAACCTTTATATATATAGGATTGTAATATTTCCACCATAATTGTACATCTTTTATCTGTAGATAGAAACCTTTATAAAGAAAGAGTTTCTGAATATTGCGCTGACAGTCACTTTAAGATAAATTTTCTTAAAAATCGGTTTAATATGCATATTGTATAACAAGCTAAACTTTCTTCATATGTACCGCGCATTTGCTCAATTATATGTCTGTATACATATAGATACCTAAAAATAATATCTTTAATTGTAAAGTTTTAAAATCTAAAACCTTGAAGAGTTCTCCCTGGAACAGTTCTGTGAATATTCTTCTTGTTCTTGAATTCACCATTTTGAATTCAAAATAAACAAGACCAGGGAGAAAAGCTGCAACAAATCCTTCAAAATCCTTCATATTGGTGATAGGGTTTCCTTTAACATATGCATTTTGAAACACAGCATTCTTTTAAAAGAATTGAGTCTTTGCCACAAACTCATATTTTCAATTCCTTTACAGTATTTGGTCATTCTTTCAAACCGGAGTTACCCTATAACATATCAATAAGATGCATTGACAGCCATCAAGAATTAAGAATTATTTATAAAATCTTAAAATCTTAAATCAAGATATATTCTTCCTATTTGACCTTGATTCACTTGTGCATTTACATGTATTTCCTGTCAATAAAAATGAGAGGCAATTAGAAGCAAAAAAATGTTTCAATTTGTTCCTTTGAGGCTCAAGGTTTTCAGGTTTTGAAGTTTTCTCATGTAGAGAATAGATTCCCTGTCTGATATCTTGTTATTTCCTAATCTCAGAACCTCTAAATTACAGTGGAGTCCATAAAACTATGAACAAAATATAAATCAAATAGTTTAACCAGTAGCTTAATTAAGGGAGTCTGTGTAAAGAGTTAAACTCCATTATTTCTGCTCTTTTATGTTCATCGGAATATTTAAAATCATTAATCTACGTCTTACAGTCGTCTTCTTATTCCATAGTTATATGGGTCTCTCCGTATTACAATTTAATAATGCATGCATCCAAACCTTTCCTTGTCAAACAAAAGTTTAAAACTCCATAGTTTAAACATTAGCTATTAATATAATTTTTTATCATTATTCATTATTATTGATATTATTTTTTTGCTTTTTATATCTCACCTAGTTTAGTCATGTGATGAAGATTTTCAATTTGTTCAATAGAGTTGTTGAAGATTGCTAGAACCTATACGAGTGGATTAAAATTATAATAGTTCGTTCAAGTCGTTCATAACTACACCATTAACGAAATCAATTCTGATATCGTTATTACATTTTGATACTTAAAAATGGAATGAAAGTCATAAAATGAAAATTTAAAAAATCAATTACGAATCACGAAGAATTCGCTACATTTTGCTAAATAAAATGACATATGCATTTTCAAGTTTTGTAAAAGCATAATACAAAATAGTTAAATGCACTTTTTATCTGTCCCTTTATATTCTTCTGCATCTCCAGGTTTTCGATTTTCTTAATCCGGTTAAAGCTAATTAAGAAAACAAAAGATTAATTTCCCTTAAAAAGAAATTGCTATGTCGATTGGAATTTTTTCTTTAAGGTACTTAACACTTAATTTCAAGTAACCCTCCATTGATGGCATGTCCGATACACAGCGGTACCAGGTGCAGCCTTAGTACATTTGAATTTCCGAGCCGGGTCAACCTTTCCAGTCCCAGTTTGTACTGTATCGCCTGGACATTGGGTAAATAAAGCAGACACTCAATAGTACTAGCCGGTACAACAAGGTTGACGCGGTTAGACTTTAGGTTAAATTTACTTTTACTAAAGGGTCAGAGGTGCGTGGTACACTTTAAACTTTTCTCTCATTACGGATGGCATATACATTTTTGTTTTTCTATCTAAAAATATAGTTCTATACGAAAATAAATAATTTCTTTCAATTAATTTATAAATGTAAACTATACGAAAATAAATAATTTCTTTCAATTGATTTATAAATGCAACATGGAAGTTACACAATATATGTAAAACTTTGTATCGTAGACATTTTTCAATTGCCCACTGTCAGTGGAAGGTCACTTGATATTACATCTACAGTCCATTTAACAAAATAAGTGTTAAGGTTAATTTACATTTTACAATTTACATTTTATTTTTAAATTTTCAAAAATTTTAATTCAACTCTTATCAGAGAATTACTTTTGGCTGTTTTTTAAGTAAAAAAAACTAAATATAAAACAAATTGGTGTCAAAAAGTTTTTTTTAATGTTTACATAAAGTGAATATTTAAAGATCATTTTGTTTCCTAAGATCCAACCATTCTAGATGCGGTAAAACCTCCAATCCTGAAAATAAAGGAACAATTAATTTGTAATTACCATTGCTTATTTTTTTTATGTCTCAATTTTAGCGTTAATTGTTTGTCTATCTGTGTGTTTGTTGGTGTCCAATAAACGTATAAACAAGCGGGCCCAAAATTTGTGTGGTTATCTCACCCAAGGAATGTTTATGGGTTCTCAGATTGAAAAAAACTTGCCTCCAAAAATTTTTTTTTTTCGTAACATTTTGAAAATTTAGGGAACAAATTGTAAATCTGCAAAATTTTTATTATTGTTTTATCGAAGAGAAAATGCTGAAGGATTGAGCAAAAATTAAAAGTTGAATTAAAAAAGATGGGCGTGAGGCACCCTGATAGCCTATAGTATATATAATATTACTATTACAATTGTTATTAATAGTCTCGTGGTTTTTGTTCTAATTCTGAACTCAAACCTGAAATTTCCTCAATGAAGTTGTTGTCGAGGAAAAGTCTTGTTAATCCACTGAACAAACAAGAACATGTAAGTTTGCATTATAATTCTATCGTTCGGTATCATCTTTATTTTTTGTTAATTTTGAAAAGATAAATTTGTTTAAAGCATGTCAGGTTTTCCTCAGGAGATGTAGGTTTTCAATTTTTATAATCTTCTTGAACTCAAGCCTTGATAAAATTCAAATCATTAAAATCTTCTGAATTTTTACAATATCCAGATAAAATATACTAGCTTGGGAACCCTAACTAAGTTTTCCCTATTAAAAATCAACTTATAAATGTAAAACCAATTTAAGAACATTCTCGTGGGTTTACCTAGCACCCAAATCAAATTTTGTGGCAAATCAGTCAAACAATTATGATTGGATATGCAGAAAAAATTTCATATATTTATAGATGTAATATATGTAATTTTTGTTATAAAATTAATGAACAACTAGCCATTGAGAGTATTGAAAGGGTTTGAATTGTCAATTCCTGAGGGTTTTAGAGTTCTGAAGTAAGAATGCCACGTCCTAAATAATTATGTTATTTATACATTTGACGAAAGGCTATCTACATATCCTTTATCCATGAGTCTATATGCATCCTGTGAATATAGGCATGAATACTACGCATCATCAACGCATGGATACTTCCTTTGTATCCATGTTTACATATATATTATAGCTGAGTATCTAGGTACATACAGATACTATACCCTGTGTATCCAGGTACACATTATACCTGTGTATCTGTATTTGATGAATCCTCCTCCTGTAGGGTTCCTATGATAAGACCCGGAGAAAGAACCACAGGATCTTCAGCCTCAGATAACCTTACATCCAATCCAGGCATTTTGCTGACAATAGATAGATAGATACTGGGGGACCCATAAAACTATGAAATAGAAAAACAAAATGTAAACAATCTTCATTGGAAGTTAAATAACTTTAATCTAACAGTCGTCTTCCTATTCCACAATTGTATGGGTTCCACTATAGATAAATTGACAGATTATGAATGTCTACAATCTACATAAGTATAGATATATACAGACATTCCTTGTTTTATTGGCTTTAACAAAAGAAAAATATGCCAATAAGTACAGACGGTGCATATGATTTATTCTAATTATCTTAATTAGATAATTAGAATATTATTTCTTATTACAGGATAATAGAATCTAATTACTCTTATACCACTATTGAATTCTGTATGTTTAAAAATATGAAAAAATTGTTTTAAGAAGTTTTTTTAATATATTCACATCTGTAAGCCTGTAATTACGGAGAGAATTTTTAAATCATAACTATCTGAAAACATTTACACAATTTGGACTGTGTTGTAGCAACATATTTGCAGCGCATTCAAAAATATGTGAAATAAATGAATTTGAGTAATTGAGCCACAAACTCTGTTTTTCTAAGCTCTATATGTTTGGTACCGAATGTCGTACACCTTAGATATTTCAAATTTCAGGGGATATTAGTTCCAAAACTAACACTAAATCTGCAAAGTTATCTTTTTTAAGAAGATTTAATCCAAGACGAGCAGAAAAAAATTACACCATAATTTTATTAAAAATGGCCAAAACTATTTATTGAAACAATAAATGGAAATTTTTAAACTAATAATAAGGCGTGAGAATTAGTTTTTGATGATTCTTGATTTCATTTTCGAACATACCCCAAATATTGAAAAGAATTACTGGATTTTAGCTCATGTCGCGTTTTCGGAACATATCCTGGTTTTGAGACAATTACCGGATTTTAGCTCATGTCGCGTTTTCGGAACATATCCTGGTTTTGATACAATTACCGGAATTCATATCAATGCCAATATTTAAGCATGAACAGTGTACACACTTACGTAACAAAACAAGATTTTTTGATAAGGTAAAATAGAAACAAAATAGAAAATAAAAGCAAACTGTTATTTTTTATAATTTAAAAATCATTACAAAAAATATTAATATTATTTTTTATAACAATTTATTTTGTAAGTTATGAAAGTGAGTTTTGTTTTGAATTCTGGATTATACTCAAAAACGGTAAAATGGGGTTTGTCCCGAAAACGCGACATCAGGATATGTTCGAAAATGGAAAACCTGACATTGTCTTAAAACCGGTCAAGAGATTTAACATAAAAAAGAACTTCTATTATAATTTTGATTATAAAAAAAGTTTGAAATTGGGAATTGTTGTTCTCGTCATGTTTAATAAAATGTTGGTTATAGTTTTATTTTACTCTGGATATGGGCCGGGATCCCAAAAACCACGCCTTTCAATTTGTGCCCATTTCTGACACTCATTGTTAGAAATGGGTCAAGTGTTAGTTTTGGAACTAATTTCCCTCTGAATTAAGAATTCAGTTTGACCAAATAATCTAAGTTTGAAATATCAAAGGTGTTAACTATCAGGTTACAAAGATATAGAGATTAAGACTAAACTTTGCTATAAATGCACTGTTCTTGAATATGGTACATAACGAACTATTTAAAGAGTATGGATGCACCAAAAACCATATCTTTGTTTACATAAAATTGTACTACAGCTTCTATATTTAATAATACTGTATGGTTTATGATGTTGGTTCCGATACTGGACGTTAAATCAATAAAATTAAATTAGTCTCAGCATGTTTTAGACCAGATCAGCTTGAATCATGATCCTACAAACTTGATATTTTTCAACTATCAGCATTCAAAACCCTATATTCTCATATTTTATGAATACGTATATAAGGAAAGCTAACTTCCTGTAAAAGACAAAAATAAGTAAAGGGGAGCAAATATGTTGACTTACAAATATATTTTGTATTCAATTATGTGGATGGATTTATTTTATGCTCCTATATCCACTAAAGTACACGGTAAATACTGGGAAAAGATCATACAGATACTGGGAGAAGGATTAGGAGAAGGATTATATACTAGAAGAAGGATTAGATACTGGGAGAAGGATTAGATACTGGGAGAAGGATTAGATACTGAGAGAAGGATTTGATACTGGGAGAAGGGTTAGATGCTGGGAGAAGGACTAGATACTGGGAGAAGTTTAGATACTTTGAGAAGGATTACATACTATAGGGTAAGAGTTAGATACTGGGAGAAGGATTAGATGCTAGGAGAAAGATTAGATACTGGGAGAATGATTAGATACTGGGAGAATGATTAGATACTGGGAGAAGGATAAGATACTGAGAGAATGATTAGATACTGGGAGAATGATTAGATACTGGGAGAAAGATTAGATACTAGGAGAAGGATTAGATGCTCGGAGAAGAGTTAGTTACTGGGAGAAGGATTAAATACTGGGAGAAGGATAAGATTATGGGAGAAGGATTAGATACTGGGAGAAGGATTAGATGCTCGGAGAAGAGTTAGATGCTGGGAGAAGGATTAGATACTGGGAGAATGATTAGATGCTAGGAGAAGGATTAGATGCTAGGAGAAGGATTAGATACTGGGAGAAGGATAATGGGAGAAGGACAAGATACTGGGAGAAGGATTAGATACTCGGAGAAGAGTTAGATACTAGTGTAAGAGTTAGATACTAGGATAAGGATTAGATACTGAGAGAAGGGTTAGATACTGGGAGAAGGATTAGATACTGGGAGAAGGATTATATACTAGGGTAAGAGATGGATAGTGGGAGAAGGATTAGATGCTAGAAGAAGGATTATGTACTGGGAGAAGGATTAGATACTGGGAGAAGGATTATTTACTAGGAGAAGGATTAGATACTAGGATAAGGATTAGATACTGGGAGACTAGGGTTAGATACTGGGAGAAGGATTAGATACTGAGAGAAGGATTATATACTAGGATAAGGACAAGGTACTGGGAGAAGGATTAGATACTGGGAGAATGATTAGATACTAGGATAAGGATCAGATACTGAGAGAAGGATTAGATACTGGGAGAAGAGCAAGGTACTAGGAGAAGGATTAGATACTGGGAGAAGGATTAGATACTGGGAGAAGAATTAGATACTAGGATAAGGACAAGGTACTGGGAGAAGGTTTAGATACTAGGAGAAGGATTACATACTGGAAGTAGAATTAGATACCGGGAGAAGGATTATATACGGGAAGAAGGATTATGATATACGGGGATTAGAGACCGTGAGAAGGATTTAAGTATCAACGTCATTATTTCTATGAGTGGTTTTTTTATCTAGAACCAACAGAAGTACAATTATAATTACGATATATAGATAGTAAAGTTCCCTTCGGACATCTAAATCCATTATATTAACACAATTATCCAAAACACTTGAGTTTAATTAGTAATATACTTACTCCGCAGCACAGTTCTTTAAACCCAACATCATTCATGTTTGAATTTTTTTTTCATAGGAAAACTTCAAGGTGTTACTTCTTTTCTTTCATCTTTATCTTTCTTTGATTATTATCTCAAGAAACTTTTTCTCTTTGTTTTTGCATTTTTACAAAGTTGTCAAATCTAAATTTGCTCCAAGCATGCATTCGACAAACATTCATGCAATTTTTCATGTTTTAAATCAAATAAATGTGTGATAATAAATAGATTTCCCTGAACACTAGATCTCATGGGAGTATACATGGTTTTTGTTTCTCTAGGTTTAGTATTTAATCTCCAGGTAGTCTCTATAGCTCTGCAGTCCTCGCCATGAAGCCGCTAGAATCTTGGCTAATCAGGTTTAAAACTTACATCTAAACTTTCTTCAAGCCCCTTTTCTTTTTAACTTGATGAGAAAATTTATTGAAATTATCAAAATTTTCTTTCTTATTGTATACATTGTAAAACAAAAACAGAAAATGTTCGTGTAATTTATAAAAAAATTATGGATTTTCAAAATTTAGTGAGAATCGAATTTTGTTGGAGGCAAATTTTTGAAATTTTGATCAATTTTAAACCTTCCCTGGGGACATGTGAGGTCCCGTACAAAATTTGGGCCCGATCGGTACAATCGTTTTAACGTTTACTGGATGCAAACAAATAAACAAACAGACAAGCAAAGTATTTTTTTTAAATTAGGAAAAAGAACTTCTTAGAGGGCAAGTTTTGGATAATCGACGATTCTGCTCGATTGAGGATTCATATAATATAACACATATATTTTTAGGCTAACCTGTTTTATTGTATTGAATTCAGTAATGGGAAGTCAGGTAACATTAATATATCCTGTATTCTAGTAAGATATCTAGAAATATATCCTGTATTCTAGGAAGACATCTATACCCGGATAGAACGAGGGCAACTCAACTCTATCAGAATGAAGAAAGCTACAGGAGTAGAACTTCAACCATATATATCAGAGGTTCAGGTAGAGGTGTATTTTTTGGTTTTACAGTTTTTCATTTTCATACAACTATTGGTGTCATCACTGTAATTATATTTGACACATCATTAAACTTTTTTGTAAAAGGAAACGAAGCAAAGTTTTGTTTGGGCAACTGCAGCGGGGCCGGGGGGTCGGTGTTGAGCGGATAAAAGCTCGACAGTAGTTTTTGGAAAATATTTTCCTCACGGCCTAAGATTAAGTTTGATTTCAGAGTTTGTTCAAAATTAAAAATTTTCTTTTAAAATTATGTAAATAGAATTATTATGTATTTTCTAATTTTGTTTTTAGGAAGTCCAAAGACCTAAGAAGTGGTTGCGAGGCTATTTAAGGAATCAGCTGATTAAAAGCTATTAATAACTAACGAATCATTGATTTGTATATTCAGTCCAAGTAAATAATAATGTTTATTCAATGTAAATCTATAAAAATGTACACTGACCACTGAGATCGGAAATTTTGTGTTGATATTGTTAATCTTAAACGCTTGATCTCGATATCATCCAATGGGCGGCACTTTTAAATTTAAGGATCAATATTCAATGCTTGATCCCTCAATTTAAGTTAACCCTGTAGTGTAGGGTTTAGCCCAATGACCATCATGGGATATTAAAGAGGAATTAAATTAATTTCTAAATATTATGGAGATGATTATTGTGGGATCCCGAAATTCACAGTACACTTTTTAACTTCTGCTAATTTTTAAGATGTTACAACTGTCACAAATTACCGCTTGATAATGAACCCTGATTCTTTCAAGACGCTAATAGACATGTGAAACTACTGATGTTATTGCTCTATGAAAAAAATCTGGTTGTAAAGGAACTGATTACTCACATCAAAAAATAATTTTCTAATTTTCTTTATCTTTGAAAACTAAGGGTAAAACTTGTCTGACTGTGATTACAACACTGACTTATTTTCAGGCTGTTTTTAGAAGTTAAACCTCACTTTAAAAGTTTGTCCACTGTATATCAAGTCAGGCGCTGAAGCTAAAAGCGATATCTTTACAATATTTTTAAAATTCGGTGATGGTGATGGACCAAACCTCAGTACAGTAAAAAAAAGTAGATGTTAGTTCCACATTTATTGAAAATATATTTCGGTCTGCGTTGACCCTCGTTAGTTCTAACGATATAATAACCATCAAAATTGATAAAAAAATTAAAAAATTGTTAAAAACCACAAGAAAATAAACAAACAAAAAAGATTATTTTAAAAAAATTGGGCTGTCAAATGGACATAAGGGAAACAAACTCAGATTATGAGATGGAAAAAAAGATAATTTGCAAATATTCACGTTTAAAAATGTTGACAATTATTATTCCTTCACAAAGATTAAAAACAAACTGTTTAGATGTATGTTACAATAGTTTTACCCTGTTATTATAAAATAGACGTTAGAGGCGAGTAATCAGTTCCTTCTATACTGAATATACTAAACCTCTGTAATAATAAGCTCGAATTTAAAGACTGCGGCAGCGAGAAGACGGAATGGAAAAGTTTGTCAGATCTCTGAGCATCAAATTATCAGGTTTATCATGATGTACTGTGTTACTATCAAAGGATGAAACTTTAAAGACGATCTTAAGTTATGACAATTTAAGGTTAACATTAGTGTTCTGCCTTGATTTTAGACTTTAAGCCTTGATTTGCCAAAGAAAAGAAACAAGTTTACAATGTAGGAAAACAGACAGTTTAGATTCCGTACAGTCGTCTCTAAAGTGTGGGTAGCCCTGTAACACATTATTGATTTTCTTTAAAATGGCTAAATAATATCTACATATATTATCGCAATTTAAAACCTTCGATTTTGCCCAGGAATACTAACCAAAGATCAACTTATGGTTTGCTTGCAGAGCTGGAATTGTGATGAGGTAGGGCGACATTTTACCCAATCTAATTGTTCAAGTATCTTTTGATATTTTGTTGATACCTTCGCAAATCTCAATCTGTATATTTAATGCAGGAAAAATAATAATAAAAATAAATTTTAAGTTAGGGATATATTTTTATGAACTATATAATCAAAACATGAACATAAAATAAAAATATTCCCACAGCCTTGAAATTTATAAAATGTTTTTATTTGTCTTTTATCAAAATAACCAAAATGATATTTATATAGATATATATATTTAAACATCAAAATATATATATATATATATATATATATATATATGAGTGCAAATTCATTCTCCGATTTATTTTCGAAACTAGAATTGACTTTCTCGGCATTAAATTGACAAATCAAAGATGGTTCTTTATTCCAATGTTTATTAAGATATCATGTTATAGGTGGATTCTGTCCCATCCGTCCTGTATCTAGATTCTGTCGCATCCGTCCTGTATCTAGATTCTGTCCCATCCGTCCTGTATCTAGATTCTGTCCCATCCGTCCTGTATCTAGATTCTGTCGCATCCGTCCTGTATCTAGATTCTGTTTAATTATGAAGTTTATTTGTTTTAGGTGATTAATGAGATGTATGATTACATTCCCAACTACAACAAAAATAACATGGATGATGTAGCAATTTCTATGTAAATGTTTACAATATCACAAAAATAGAAACGAATATGAAATGAGAGAGATATAGTGAGCCCCCCTGTTGCCCTCAGAAAAAATGTAAAAGTTATTTTTTGATTAATTTCGAATTAATGTATAGTTTATTAAATGCTGAATATTTCATATAAATCTATAATGTATTTTACAACTAAAACGAATTACTCAGTAAATACAAACTGTTAAAACCATTCTAAATAAGATCAAATAAAAGCGGATTTAAAATCATGATTATCTGTTTTATTGTTAGTAATTTAACCTTTTAGTTTTTCCCCGTCGCAACTCTGTCTTTCTATCTATCTTTCCTGTTCACTTGTCTCAATTTTATGGTTCTAACCATTCGTTTTATTTGGTTGTTTCTCTTATTGTGTTTGATTTTAAGTTGTCAAGTTTTGGGCATATTATTGTTTTGGGGACTTTCGGATGCAACGATTTTCTACAAGTTTTTTTAACGAACAATTGGTTATGCTTCGTTTAGGCTTATATCATCTGTAAAAGCTAAAATGTTGTATAATACAATGAAAGCAAACTTGAAGAGGATGAAATTTTAAAATGTGTTAAATCTCATAGATTTCGTGGAACCACCTGAAAGACAATTGACAGATTTAAAAAGATGCCAAACGAGGGAGAGCCATGAGCCTCATTTTGGAGGCTCATGGAGTCGGTTATCCATTGCTCGTCTAACATTGGATTTTGGTCGGGTTGATTCAAAATTACAGGTCTCCTTTTTTCAGTTCAAAGTGTTCGGATTGCTTTTAGAGATAATAAGCTAGCTAGAAAAAAAACAGGAAAATAGAATTACTCGATGTCAATTTCCTCTAAAGTTGTTGACTGGTTTTCATAACTCTCTAGTTTTCCAGTAAATCTAAAAGCCTGAAGAAAGTGAAGAAATATGTTGCAACGTTAGCTTTCTTCCAAAGCAGCAATTACCCCCCCCCTCCCGCAAAGAACACAGAATCATCATCGTAAACTAATACCATCCCACAAATATAACCCCCCCCCCTGCCAAACCCCCACTTCCAGATCTTTGAATCTTGAAATTATAATTCCCTCATGTTTAACAAATACTGTTTGGTCCTGGGTTAAAAAGAAAGGTTTTGATTGGTTTTGTTTCCACGTAGAATAGAAAGGAGAAACTGTTAGTGTGTGTGTTGGGTCAGTTATATACAAATCTTTAGTTGAAATATTCATTCAAGAATACACAATTCATTCAAATACAAACAAAAAATTACAAGTTAACGTATTTAGCGCTTGAAACAGTGAAGTGATATAATCATATAAAAAAGTTTTAAGCAGCAAAGTTATGAAACTGTGATTTACAATTGATTGGTTCATTGATTGCTAGTTTTGGCTAAAGAATGAGAGTTTGTACGGTAACAATGATGTATATAATCATATATCCAGTCTACTCACAGCATCATAAAGAATGTTCACGGGATGCAGATTGTAAATCTTTAGTCACTAACCTTAGGAAATATTTCAATATCAATTAACAAATACTATTTTTTAGAGACTTTTAAACACTTTCAGACATTTTAAATGAACTCATCATTTGTCCTACAGAGGAGGAATACATAATTTGTACAACGTATGTACACTTAATTTTCTCTACAAATTATTTGTCCGAGATTTGAAAGCCTAGCTAAGCTAAGAGCTTTACCATTCAGCCCCTCCCCAGACCAGCCCCCAATCTTTTCCGGGTTTGTCAATTAGGTGGATGCAATAGCTGAACCAGGTTATTAAGATTGATCGCGTTATGGGGTGTGTAGCCTCTTTCCTCATAAAACTCATTTAGGGTAGAATCAACTGTTGTCAAATAAGGTGCAATTAAATGCACACAAGATATTTTTAGGTCGGGGCTTTTATTGGTACAAGTAAGCGTCGTTGAATACTTCTCCTTTTCTCGATCCTTCTTCTTCCCCAAATCCACCTTCTCACTTCTCTGCCTTCTGCTTTCTTGTATTCTTCTTTCTCTTCTTCCCCTTCTGCCTTCACATCGTCTCCTTCTTCTCTCCCTTCTCCCTCTTCTCCTTCTTCTCCCTTTTCTCCATCTTCTCCTTCTTAATTCTCTACCTTCTCCTCTTTTCTTCTTTTCTCCCTTCTTCCCGCTATTCCCGTACTTCTCCTTTTTTCCCTTCTTCCCCTTCCCCCCTTACACCCCCCTCTTTTTCTTTCCCTTCCCCCCTTCTCCCTCTTCTCCCTCTTCTACGCCTTGGTCCCCTTATCCTCCTCTCTCCATCTCCTCATTCTCATTTTCCATCTTCTCCATATTCTTATCTTTTGCCTTCTTTTACCCTTTCTCCCTTTTCTCCTCTTCTCCTGCTTCTCCTCTTTTTACTCTTCTCCCCTTTATATTCATCTTTCCAATTTCTCCTATTTCCCCCACGCTTCCTTCCTCTTTTCCTTCTTTTCCTTCTTTTCCTTCTTCTCCCTCATCTACCCTTTCTTCCCCTTCTTTCCGTCTCCCTTCTCTTCCATTTCTCTTTTTTCTTCTCATTTTACCGCTTCCCTCCTTTTTCCTTCTCTCCCCCTTATCCCTAATTCACTCTTTCTTCACCTTCTCTCCGTCTACCTCTTCTTCCATTTCTCCCTCTTCTCATAATTTTCCCTCTTCATTCCTCTTTTCCTTGTTCTTCTCCATAACCCTCATATATCCTCTTCTCCTCCTTCCTTTCAATCTCCTCTTTCTTTTCCTTTTCCCGCTTCCACGTCTTTTCCTTCTCATCCCCTTTTTTCCCCTTTCTCCCTTTTTTACACATTCTCCCTTTTTTACACATTCTCCCCTTCTCCCTCGATCTCGCTTTACCCGTTTTCAAATATCTTTTTTTCTTCTATTTAATGCGCGTTAAAAATTTTTATTTGTCTGAATATGATGCACTGAACGCTAGATGCTTCATGAATTCGCATCCTACACATGCTTCTAGAATCAGGGAACAATTTTCTCCTGTTTTTTAAAATATATTTTATATTTCATCTTTTAAGGAGTCCTTCTCTTAATTGCTCTAAAACTTGCTCAGTTCAGGAAATCACTATTTTAATAGATAACACCAGTGCAGTGTAACAATAGAGGTCTTTTGGATCTGAAAAAGATGAAAGGTTATAAACTACAAAGTTGTTAACCATTAATTATAAAACCTCTATAAAATGTCGTCTTCAACTTGAATCTCCTGTCGGAGACAGCCAAACCAAATTTTTATTTCAGAGGTGTACGCATTTTTTGTACTGCAGTGTAATGTCTTTGGGCGGAAAAGTAAACACAAGACGGATGTCACAGCCTGACATGGAATCCAATTTCACAAAAATAATCTATGAAATATTCTGGTCATAGGAAACTATCATGTGAATTTTCAATACTATCAAGATTAAATGCTTTTATCCTCCTCGGATACTGAACGAACACTGATGCATCTATTCTTGTTTACAAAGTCCGCCCAGAGACAACTGGTTTCAATATGTACGCAGAGAATACTCGACCGCAATTAACTTTCCTTGCATTAGTACCTTGGTCATGCCAGTCCGTTTAACCTATATACCTACTGCCTGTACTCTGTAGTGCATAAGCAGTACATGGACATTTAACAACTCTGATTATATTATCTATTAAAGAATGTATTCTGCTTTCCCCTAATTTTTATGTATTTTGTACTCGCTCGTTAAATTTTACCCGACTTATATATCCTAGTGTTTGAAGTAGAATAGAAACCTTAAACGAGACAAAAAAAAAATGGAAGTACCGTTGTAAAATTATACAGGACTGAGACGTCTAAACTTACCTTTAAAATATTTCGCAAAACTTAATGAACATACCTCGTAACTCAATTGATTTTGTCGACTGTCCCTTTAAATTAAACCTAAAAATTTGAGAAACCAGTATCACTATAGTTTTAGTAAAAGTAAATATTTCCATTTACTGTTTAGCCACGATATAAGGATTCATCTCTTATTGGATAATGAGATAGATAAAAAGATAGATGATGCAATTTCTATTTGTTCAGAATAGACAACAAACATGACTGAACCCTGATTGGATCTGGCGCTAATGGAATCGCATACAAGTGAGGCGCGAAACTTAAAAATAAAAATATAAAGGCAACAATTTTTATCTTGCAAAATGGCAACATTTTATCAAGAAAGAATCATGCTGCCTAAGACGTGAAATATGTAAATATATGACAAACCATTTTTGGAAGTTTTATTTTAAAATATTGAAATAAATTCCTACAGATGTTCAAGAACTACTGAGCTCACCACCTTTAGATGTCTTTGTGAGTCCAGGTAGGAGTAATCAATATTTCTTTATTCAATTTAAAAGTTTAATTTGCTTTAAAAACAAATTATGTCCCATCACCTTGCACAACTCATGAGAATTTGTATTCATGCGTGCAGAGGAAAAAAATGAAATACTTTGGTCAACATTTTCTGTGCAAGCAGTAGTTAAAAGATATTGTATTAATTCGGTTGTTTTTGTTTGTAAAATATTGTATTTGTTGTTTCTTAATTATTATATTTGGTTGATGTTGATTCTAAAATATTGTATTCGATTGATGTTGTTTCTAAAATATTGTATTTGGTTGATGTTAATCTAAAATATTGTATTTGGTTGATGTTGATTCTAAAATATTGTATTTGGTTGATGTTGATTCTAGAATATTGTATTCGGTAAATATTGAATCTAAAGTATCTCGCAACCTCTTAAAATATCCCCGCTCATAGCCTTTTTAAGACTGTAATACACTTTTCCATAGAACTCATAGCACAGGACTTTTGCATTTTTCTATTTTTCCCCGTAACTTCTTTATTTCAGCCCTTTTGATTTTTAACTAACAAATGCAGACTGGATTAGACAAAAGGAAAAGCTCAAATTAATGCATCATTACTGGGTGACTTTGTGACCTCGTAGCTCTTCTAGTTTAGATTTTACCTGGTTACATATATAATATATCCAGTTACATATTTAATATTTTAAACATTTTTGTTCTTCTCAATAACTTTTCATTAAAAAAGGAGTTAGGATTGGATCCATATACGATTCTTGCGTACAATTAACTTTAGTTTGATTGAAGCAACGAGGTTATAGTGTATAGAGTGATGATGTACGCTAATCCTTTACTAATTGTATAGGGCATCAACTATACCGAGAGCATACTGCATATTTGTTTATTATAAGTAGATTCTGGCCTAACCTATAATCATTATTAGTAAACAGTTGTAAGTGTACAGTACAGCTAGCTGAGCACCTGGATTGAAATCAAGATGAAAATGAATAAATATTAAATATTCTAGATAGTATTCCATGTTTTCTGATTCGCATTGTTGTTAAAAATTCTAAAACACCTAACCCTCTTTCTTTGAACCCTTTGCACAATTAATGTTTATCCCCTCTTTTATTTGACCTATATCCTTGAATATGATTCCTATCTATCAATTCATATGTAAAATATTAGCTACAGTTCTCCACTTTATTTTTATTTATTTATATATCTATATAGAGTAGATAGATAGACGTAGTGTACTTTAGTATTTTATCTACCAATATAGTCCTTCTGTTCTTCGTAGTGTACTTTAGTATTTTATCTACCAATATAGTCCTTCTGTTCTTCGTTCAAAACAAACTCGTTAAAAGAACAATCTTTAGGTTCAATAAAACTATAAACCAAGGCGGCCCTTAAATTTTCTGAATTTGCAATGTAAGGCTGTTTTTGTGGCAAATATGCAACGTTTGCTACAATTTTAAGAAGTATGTAGACAGATCGATGGACATAACTTTTTATTGATTTCAATTCAACCAATATAGGGGAATGATCAGACTTTAAACTATGTCCAAAGTTGTGATAGGGTGCATCAAAAGATTGGCGGGACAAAGGAATTGAGTTTTTGCCACAAACTCTGATTTTCTGAACCTTTTATCTTTACAACCCTTTTTCGTAGACCTTTGATATTTCAAACGACAAATACTGTTAGATCAGGAAGTGTAAGTTTGAAATATCAAAGGTTTACACGATTAGGTTTTTGAGATTTATGGATTTGAAAATTTATGTTTGTGGCAAAAACTCAATTCCTTTTGGCACATATTTCTTTTTCTCGGGCAATTTATCCTTTTCAATCCATGACAATTAGGGTACGTTAAGTTTGTGTGACTAGTTAAGTCTATTCCCTGGTTTTTAGTGCAAAATGTATCTTTCGATGGTTTTTTAACACGTCAATCTTAAGTGAATTGAACGCATGAATCAATTTATATGTTTTTAATCATAAATCCTTTAGTGGAAGGTCTTTCAGAAGAACAGATATATTTTGAATTTCCTGTCTCACCTGTCTTACCAGGGTGTAATGCAAGGAAAGTTAATTGCGGTCGTGTATACTCTGCGTACATATTGAAACCAGTTCTCTTTGGGCGGACTTTGTAAACAAGAATAGATGCATCAGTGTTCGTTTAGTATCCGAGGAGGTTAAACGCATTAAATTTGATAATTTTGATAATTCACATAATAGTTTCCTATAATTCATTTTTTATGTGAAAGATGGATCCCATGTCAGGCTGTAAGATCCGTCTTGTGTTTACATTACCGCCCAGAGACAGCACACTGCAGTACAAAAGATGCGTACACTTCTGAAATAACTTTCCTTGCATTACATCCTTGGTCTCACCGAATAAATTTGCTTTTCTCATTCTTGTGCGTAACATGAAAACTAGAAGAGCTACGATACCAGAAAATTGTGCCGTTGATGTCGCATGAAGTTTACCTTCTCCTTCTGGTCTAGTTTGTTGTCTGATTTCCGAGCTCACGAGACTACATCAGACCTTGATCAGATAAACGACAAGCCCCAATGTTCATTTCAGTGAATTGAAAGTATTTTTTAGCATCTTATCCTCACGCAACAATGTATTTCTCATTCATTATTCTTATAAAATCAGACCTATCAAGTCAAAATCTAGATTTTTCATATATATAATAATTTCAGATGGAAGTTTGACGGTTCAGTGTGTCAACCAATGATCGATTTCAAACAGGCAGTTCAAATATTTATTTGATTAGAAAAAGTCTAAAAATAAGAAAAGGTGCAAGCTGTGCTATAACTATGTTACAGCTAGAATGTTTCTAGAATTTTACACTTAACTAGAAAATTCGAATACAGGGATGTCCCTCGATCATATAATCATTTCAAAAACTTCGCGAGATTTGATTTTTTCTGAAAAGCTAACATTCAGCGTAAAAATTAAATTACCAAGCATTTTTGAGGAACTGTATACATCCCTGATTATATGTAAACATATTTATACTGTCCTAGACTTAAAACATTGCAACATTTAGAAATCTCAAGTCAAATTTTGCAAATTTGTCTGATCAAATAAATGATTTTTTTGTTTCCATTGGATTGCATTGAACAAAGTTTTTCGGTCGGCCCAAATAAAGATTCTTTCCTAAAAGATTAGATTTATTCTATATTCAGATTCCTTGAAATTGAAGACACTTTACATCAATATTTATCATCAAAATATTACTATAATGATTATATTCTAGTTTTTAATTTAAACACTATTTTTATATTTTTTTTTTAATGATAAATTCTCTGGATTTAAGTTTCTATCATGACCCAAATTCGACTGACATTGTGCCAAAAATATATTTTGTTCCGTATTTAATTTATATTCATCCGACAATTAAAGTTTGGACACATTTGTCATTGTAATTTTCAAGGCGACATATTTCTTAAAAAAAAATATAGCTTTCAACATGTCAGTCATATTTAAGATTTGTATGATGTATTTGCACGCCAAAAAAATTCATTTTCATTTTTAGATTTCTGCAGCATTTAGATTTATAAACATAGAAAATAGAATATATATTAGAGGGGAATTTACTAGAAAAAAGTGTAAAACGGCCATTTTGTTTTACTGTTTCCATACTGCAGGTGTACTTCACATATTTATGCTATATAACCTTTTGGGCCCTGGAATATCATTTTATATAAAGTCTAAAATTATTGGTAAATGAAAACCAAATTATGAAATAGGCTGGTTTCATAATTGATCAATGATCATTTTACATACAATCTATGCCTTCCACTTTACAAACGATGATTTTCCGTTATAACTATAAATCAACTGATGTTTTTTTATTCATCTAATTCATTATAAAGTTTATTTAACAGTTTAAAAATTCGAAATTGAAATGAATAGTCTAGGGAACATACTGTATTAATGTACTCTACTGCATATAATTTGTGAACATTTACATGATTTGTACACTTTGAACTCCCTTTCAGGCTGAAAGGGACTGAAAAAATTTATACCGAGAGATTCTTTAAATTCCCCTCTTATATTTATTCTATTCTCTATGTTTATAAAACTAGTGATCAACAAAGAGAATAGAATATATATTAGAGAGGAATTTAGAAATCCCTCGGTATGAATTTTGTCAGTCCCTTTCAGCCTGAAAAGGAGTTCAAAGTGTACAAATTATGTAAATGTTCACAAATTATATGCAGTAGAGTACATTAATACAGTATGTTCCCTAGGGCCTAGGCTATCCATTTGAATTTCGAATTTGTTAAAGCTGTAAAATAAACTTTATAAAATGAAATAGGTGAATAAAAAACATCATTTGATTTTTAATTATAACGGAAAATCATCGTTCTTAAATTGAAAGGCATAGAGTTTATGTGAAAGGATCATTGGTCAATTATGAAACTAGCCTATTTCATAATTTGGTTTTCCTTTAATATTAATTTTAGATTTTCTATAAAATGATGTTCCAGGGCCCAAAAGTACACCTGGATGGAAACAGTAAAACAAAACGGCCGTTTTACACTTTTTTCTTGTAAATTCCACTCTAATATATATTCTATTCTCTTTGGTGATCAATTAGTTTAGATAATTAAAGAATTCATTAAAATATCGTTCTTAGCTATTTTTACCGCACCCTCCCTTCCTCTCTATACACTATTTATCACCCTAATAAAAGTATACTTCTAGATAAGATATCTCCAAGTTTTTATGCCCCACAGCCGCCACCGTCCCGGTCGGGCCCCGATATGTTTCTGCAAAGAATGGATGCAAAGTCTTATTTAAAACACATGTTGATATATCTAGATATATATTATATATAATTTATGTATATTTATATTTCATAATTGTGGAAAGTCAAGGCGCCACTTTACAATGATGTCTGGATTTAAAATAGAGAGAAAAGAAAATATATCACGAAGGTATTTAAAACAGAATAGAAATTTTTTAAAAATAGTTTATGATAAAAAAGGGAATATGAGAATAAGAAGATATGGAAGAGAGAAGAAAAGGCTAAGGAAGATCGATGGAATAAAAAGATATGGAAGAGAGAAGGAAAAGCTTAGGAAGATCGATAGAATAAGAAGTTTATGGAAGAGAGAAGTAAAAGCTAAGGAAGATCGATGGAATAAGAAGTTATGGAAGAAAAAGGGGAAAAGGCAAAAAAAGATTTGATGGAATGCACGAATAAAAATCATAGAAAACAACAGTGAGAGATCCAAAATTCGAAAAAGTAAGCACTTAAAATATAGAGAAAGACACAATTAAAAAAGAAAAATGCACTAAACTAAGTACAGTGGATCTATTATCCAAATTTATGGATTTTAAAATTGAAAACATTTAAAGCTGAAACAATCAATTTTTAGAACACAGTTTTTGCCTACATTGTGTATAGAAGAAATTGAAAAGATTTAACAATAAAATTATTTGAAGTTATGAAGACCCACGGACAGTTAAATTCTTGGATAATCACAGACAACAGACGTTTCAGACAGATAGCAGACAGTAGACGGACAAATTAGCGTTGTGCATTTACAAAAACCGGCGCCCTGACATACAGAGACACGCAAACACATATACGGACACACAGACGTACACAGTACAGAGTACAGACATACATCTTAATCATTATACTCACATTTTGATACCAAATACTAAACAATCCGATAAGAAGACCAGATACTCCGATACCAAACACCAGATACTCCGGTACCAAACACCAGATACTCCGATACCAATTACACCAGATACTCCAATACCAAACACCAGATACTCCGGTACCAACAACAGATACTCCTATACCAAACACCAGATACTCCGATACCAAACACAAGATATTCTTATACCAAACACCAGATACTCCGATACCAAACGCCAGATACTCAGATACCAAACGCCAATCAATCCGATATCAGAAACCAGACACTCCGATATCAAACACCAGATATCCTATGCCAAACACCAGATATCCTATACCAAACACCAGATATCCAATACCAAACGCCAGATACTCCGTTTGCAAACACCAGGTACTCCGATACCAAACACCAGATACTCCGATACCAAACAACAATCAATCCCATATCAGAAACCAGACACTCCGATATCAAACATCAGATACTCCGATACAAAACACCAGATATCCAATACCAAACGCCAGATACTCCGATTGCAAACACCAGATACTCCGATCCCAAACACCAGATACTCCGATCCCAAACACCAGATACTCCGGTACCAAACACCAGATACTCCGATCCCAAACACCAGATACTCCGATCCCAAACACCAGATACTCCGATCCCAAACACCAGATACTCCGATCCCAAACACCAGATAATCCTATCCCAAACACCAGATACTCCGATACCAAACACCAGATACTCCGATACCAAACACCAGATACTCCGATACCAAACACTAGATACTCCGATACCAAACACCAATCAATCCAATATTAGAAACCAAACACTTCGATACCAAACACCAGATACTCTGATTCCAAACATCAGATATTCCGAAACCAAACAACAAAAAATCCAATATTTGGTCATAATGTTGCCTGAAACGACAAAGTCAAAGAAAATTGTTTTTTAAATCAATAAAATTACATTATGTCGCAGACACTATAATTTCCCGGAAATCTTGTTTTGTTGTATAAAGTTTATTGTTCAGGAAAAAGTTGAGTGGAACTATTTTGTCGCATTAATGAATGTATTTAGAAATAACCTTACCAGGTTAAAGAACATTTTATTACATAACAATTATAACCTCTCAAGGAAAAAAAGAACATACATGTTTAAAAAATAATTTTCTTTTTATGTTGTGTCTAGCCAAATTAAAGTAAAATTCTTGTTAGATTGAAATCTTACATATTTTCATTCTAGTTCCTAAACTATTTAGAATAAATAGTTAAATTTCCTTCTTTCTTATTTGGTTAATCAAACCTAGAGAAGCTACGATGACACAAAGTGGTGCTTTTAATTTTCTTTAGATCTGTATTGAAGTGGTATAATAAAATTTACTATTTAGTTAATTTTGACGAAGTAAAAAGTATTTTTAGTCGCGTGTGGCTTTCGAATTGTAAAAAAATTTGGAAGGATTTAGTAAAAAATTTAATTTTATTAACTCAAAATAAAATAACGAAATGTTGAATTTCCCCCTGTAAAAGATTACTCAGTATTGCATCATATTGAGTTTTTCCCACAGACCTTTCTTTACAATGAATAATATTATACCCCCAGCTAGGGTAGTTTTCATGATTCTACAAGAATACACCCCCCACATGTTTTTCCCACAAACCTTTTTAGAATTTTTGCAAGGTTTTTGACCCCCTTTCCAACTCTCATATTTTATGAGTATGAGTTCTCATAAAAGTCCCACGAACACGACAAACAAATAAAAATATCAATCCTGGAATAACTAAAATAATGCAAGCCTCTTTTAACCGTAAACTTAAATTGTCTATTCCCTATATTTTGCAACCTGTTGGTTAAAAACACTATTGATCTTATCGAATTTAGAGTTTAAGACATATAAGATCTATAGCATCCTGTTGCAAAGATACAGGAATTAGAAAAAAAATCATAGTTTGATGGGAAACTCAGTTCCGTAGATTTACTTGTTTCTCTGTGTTAATGTTCAAAATTTAGAAAATTAGAAAAGTTGATGGAAAAAAACCTACTGTTTCAGACCACTTCTTTTACAAAGAAGTGCAGGTTCGTTGTTATTTCGCTTTATTTTTTAATTTTGCACGGTTTTGCTGGTGTAATGCATTCTTTTAAAATGAAATAATGCACTGAAATCTAAAGTCATTAAATTTTTAGCCGCACTCGACTTTAAAGTGCCACAAAGCCTTGGCCTTTGGTTTTACCTTACATTACTAATACATTTGTGTAGCCCTTGACATATACATTCTAAGAATGAAATGCGCTTTTTTCTAGCTTAGTTTAAAAGGAGTAATTTGCAAAATATTGGTCGAATTTTCTATGAAAGTGTGCACACACACCATGATTCTGCAGTGAATAAATATTGAATAAATGCTACAAAAATCTTTCTTAATTGTTAAAAGCGATTAAATAGAGAATTCATTTTTGCTAGTTTTATATGTGCAGTATGAACCTTTTACACTATTTTAAAACAAGTTAGGAGACTTTTAGAGTACAAATAATTCCGGGAGAACACGTTTTAGAAATCTGCAAATAGTATAAATGAAACCGAGAAATTTAGGGGAAATAATATTATAAGTAAACATATATGTTCCATTCCATAACTTTAAAGAAAGATCTTAATAGTATATACAGTATACACACAAACTTGATAACACTGGTTACTGAAATAGCGAAAAAATTCTATTTTTTGTAAATTATTTAAACAATTCTACTTTAATATGTGACTTATTTTTGCAAAAATGTCGAGCAAATTATAATTTCGTTTCCCAAATATATATATATCGTTGTACATATAATGATTAATAATAATAAGACACGCCACGCGGTCAATTATATTAACATGAACGACCTTGAAAGAAATGCAGGACGCCATGTTTCAAATCATGCACTGTCTGCCTTGTTTAATGATGAAATCACTGCCTGCGCAGAACTAGCAAAAACTAGGTTCTGCGCAGGACAGCGTGGAATGGCAACTCTGAACCGGGATTTGCGAGTCATCTCCCGGTTAGTGGGTTCAATACTCGGTAGGTCTGTAACGTGTAGCCAACGAAATTGCACAAAAAGATTGATGAAGTATTTTTTCAAATGTCTTCATCAACAGTAACAAAACATCATCTTGTAACATAGTTGTATTTTAATGGATTGCTTTATTATAACAGAATCACGAATATACACTTTAAACTTGTTAGCCAGCTTTACTTCAACGTCTGTTTACTTAATCTCGATAGACTGGTTCCAGCCGGTATACTTTAGTTTCATTGTCTGGATTCAGCCAATACACTTTAGTTTCATTGTCTGGATTCAGCCGGTACAGTTTAGTTTCATTGTCTGGATTCAGCCGGTACACTTTAGTTTCATTGTCTGGATTCAGCCGGTACACTTTAGTTTCATTGTCTGGATTCGGATGTTACACCGCTGTCGGTAAAATTTAACCTCGTTAGGAAATTTAAGTCTTATTTTATAACCTCGTTGGCAGGATTTATACTGTACAAATTCAAATTCATTATTTGATTTGTTTGTTTAAAACCAAGAGTCTGGCAGAGGCAGAAAAACAAATTTAATGAGAAATAAAACAGAAAAGAAAAATATTTGTAGCCCTTGCCTTCTCCAATTCTTCCAATTAAACCCCCCAACACGCCCTTAACTCACCTACCATTCCTTCCTAGAATTAAACCCTTCTTCCCCCTTTAATTCAGATCTTCTGACCCACACTAAAAGTCCAGAATCATTTGAATAGTCTGAATTCAGATTATACGTACCTAAGGGGAAGGGGCTTAGAGGGCTAAGCCCTCCCCCCCTGGAAAAGCGAAAATTATTAAAGCTCGGGAGGAATTCTGCACCAAACGGGAGCTGAGTCCCCCCCCACCCCCCACCCTCTACCCCAAAAAAGGTTTGTCTGATAAAGTATGAATTATCCATGTATATATATTTTTTAAACTGATTATTTTAATTTGTGATTTGAATAATTCTGCCTTCAGAAAAAGGTCAAACTCCTTGAAAAACACCTTTATACGCTCCTGTATGCGTGTGAGGGGTTTAAAGTTCTAAAGACCTCTCTGTATAAATAGTTTATACAGAGGAAGAAAAAATCAATATATAATTATATATATTTAACTGATCTTAAACAGAACAAAAACGGCTTATCTAGAGACGTTTGATATGAATAAGATTTGATAGATAAATATATTAATAAAAAGTTTAAATTTAATCTCTGTTACATCCAACATTCCCTCATTCAGTGTTTTTACCTACTCCTATGTTCAAGCTCCCCACTTTCTTGTAGGAAGATTCAAACCGATATCTTTACACCTAACCCCACAACCCCTTGAGTAGTTGTAGTTGTGGTTGCACTTGTAGTTATAGTTGTAGTTGTAGTTGTAGTTGTAGTTGTAGTTATAGTTGTAGTTGTAGTTGTAGTTGTAGTTGTAGTTGTAGTTGTAGTTGTAGTTGTAGTTGTAGTTGTAGTTGTAGTTGTAGTTGTAGTTGTAGTAAAGCAATCCTAAATGTCAGAGCTCACTGAACAACTGTGACGTTTAAAGTTATTTTACCCTTTACCCTGCTTGAGTTTCTTATAAGGCGTTAAATTGACTCCACTTAGCAGTTGTCTTAGCTAGCCAGATATCTTATATACATGTCTATATTACGGTCGGATACCTAGAGGCTAGATATCTATTTAATTGTCTAATAGAAACGTTTTATAGTCGATTCTTGTTGTTTTAAATATTGTATATTTGTCTAGTCGTGAAGTCGTAAGGTTGTCTAGTTGTCTTGTCTAACTGTAAGGCTGTCTAGTTGTCAAGGCATCATTGTAAGGTTGTCTTGATGTCAGGTTGTCTAGGTGTAAGGTTGTCTTGATGTCAGGTTGTCTAGGTTTAAGGTTGTCTAGTTGTCTTTTCTAACTGTAAGGCTGTCTAGTTGTCAAGGCATCATTTTAAGGTTGTCTTGATGTCAGGTTGTCTAGGTATAAGGTTATCTTGATGTCAGGTTGTCTAGGTATAAGGTTGTCTTGATTTCAGGTCGTCTAGGTGTCAGGTTGTATTGATGTCAGGTTGTCTAGGTGTAAGGTTGTCTTGATGTCAGTTTGTCTAGTTGTAAGGCTGTCTTGATGTTAGATCGTCTAGTTGTAAGGTTGTCTAGATGTAAATGTAATATTGTTTAGGTGTATAGTTGTCTTGATATAAGATTGTCTAGCTGTATGATTGTCTTGATGTAAGGTCGTCTAGCTGTATGGTTGTCTTGATGTAAGATTGTCTTGATGTAATATTGTCTAGTCACGAAAGGTTGTCTTGATGTAAGATTGTCTAGCTTATGGTTGTCTTGATGTAAGATTGTCTAGCTGTATGGTTGTCTAGTTGTATATACCTGTATATTAAAATAGCTGTCAAGGTGTTTTGTTCTTAAATTGTTTGGTTATCAATTTGGTCGATTTTCTTTATTTTTCACGTTTGTATTTCTCCACAAGTCTAATTCATATTGTTCTTTATGTCTGATATTTATTAATAATATTATCTTTAGAAAAAAATGTCTAGCTTACTATTTGAAGACTCAGATGTCTTCTCGTCAAAATCGAAAATGATTATGATTATATTATTATTTATTATTGATGAAAATTAATCTTATATGTCCCAGTTTGTTCAAATCTGAAATAGCTGTTTATAAACTAAACTAAAAGCAGTAACTACTAGAATATAATCCAGAACAAAAATTTCTTATAATACTTCTTTAAATAAGAACAAAGAACAGAAATTTTATATTTTTGTGCAAAACTCTAAGCTTTTTATTTCTAGACGTTTTCATATTTAATACATATCTACGGGCTTTTATTCTTTTCTTATCCTTTCCTTCTGTTTTAGTCTTTTATTATACTTTTCTTCTTTTTTGTCTTTATTTATCATGTTCTTCGTTTTAGTAGATTTTTTGATCCTGTTCTTCTGTTTTAATCTTTTATTATCCTGTTATCCTTTTAATCTGTTTTAGTCTTTTCTTAACATTTTCTTATGTTTCAGTCTTTTATTATCCTGTTCTCCTGTTTTAGTCTTTTCTTATCCTGTTCTCCTGTATTAGTCTTTTCTTATCCTGTTCTCCTGTTTTAGTCTTTTATTATCTTTTTTTCTGTTTTAGTCTTCTCTTATTCTGTTCTCCTGTTTTAGTCTTTTCTTATCCTGTTCTCCTGTTTTAGTCTTTTATTATCCTGTTCTCATGTATTAGTCTTTTCTTATCCTGTTCTCCTGTTTTAGCCTTTTCTTATCCTGTTCTCCTGTTAAGTCTTTTCTTATCCTGTTCTCCTGTTTTAGTCTTTTCTTATCCTGTTCTTCTGTTTTAGTCTTTTCTTATCCTGTTCTCCTGTTTTAGTCTTTTCTTACGCTGTTCTCCTGTTTTAGTCTTTTATTATCCTGTTCTCCTGTTTTAGTCTTTTCTTACGCTGTTCTCCTGTTTTAGTCTTTTCTTATCCTGTTCTCCTGTTTTAGTCTTTTATTATCCTGTTCTCCTGTTTTAGTCTTTTATTATCCTGTTCTCCTGTTTTAGTCTTTTATTATCCTGTTCTTCTGCTAAGTCTTTTCTTATCCTGTTTTCCTGTATTAGTCTTTTATTATTCTTTTTTTCTGTTTTAGTCTTCTCTTATCCTGTTCTCCTGTTGTAGTCTTTTCTTATCCTGTTTTCCTGTATTAGTCTTTTATTATCCTTTTTTTCTGTTTTAGTCTTCTCTTATCCTGTTCTCCTGTTTTAGTCTTTTCTTACGCTGTTCTCCTGTTTTAGTCTTTTATTTTCCTGTTCTTCTGATTTAGTCTTTTCTTATTTATGTTCTTTTGTTTTGGTCTTCTCTTATCCTATTCTTTAGTTTTCAATCCTGTTCTTCTGTTCTACCTTTCCCTTCTATTTGCATGGATTAAACCTTCATTAGTAGTTTCCAGAATTAAAGTAAGGAACAATTATAAGAATTTAGATTTACATGTTTAAGCGGAAAAGGCAAAATATTTCTAGATTTGAGGAAACATTAGAAACCTTTTAATTATAAATGTCTGCCGCTTGTTGTTAAGAGTACGTCTGGAGTATTTTGCATTATATATTGACAGTTAGTCCCAAGAAACACAAGACGTCACTCCAGTTGTAATTTTTCAAGCAAGAAACGTTCAATTTCTTCAAAATATTTGTCATTTACGAAAAAATAGTTGCATTTTATTAAAAATATGCGGCATCATAGCTTTCAACGATTACTGTTGGAAATGGGGTTTTTTCAACATTTTTTATTAAAAAATTTGATTTTCGTAAAACTTTCTGTATTCCGCAGAAAATAAATATCCTTGAATGTATAAAGATGAATCAAATAGGATGCTAAATGTCCATTGCTCATTACTTAAAACAATACAAAATCTGCAAATGTTGAGTTTAATCAAAATCTTTTGATACAAAGTTTCTTGTTTTCCAATATAAACCAATAACTCAGCGGTTGATGGTTCAGCTAATGGATAAGATACCTATCCGTTGTTACTCCTAAGACCAATGGATAAGATATATATCCGTTGTTACTCCTAAGACCAAATATGACGTTTTTACATGATTCTTATTGTGACGGGCACTAGTCTGCTATATGTGTAAGAAACATCATACACACACAACACAATACATATGATACTTACATACATACAAACGCTAAACGTTATTATATAGATTTGCCCAGAAAGGTTCATTGTACAATGTACATATATAATGTATAAATTAGCTGAAGAAAATGGCGCTTTAAATATTAAACCATCCGATAAATAGTTCACGAAAATTTAAATAATAATAAACAATTTGTAAATATATCTGATCTTAGTAAAGTGTTAGCTAAGAAATAAATAAGATATTTTACTGTCCCAGGACCATGCATGGAAAGTTCCGATTTTACAAGAAATATTAAATACAAGAATGAATAATTTATATTTTGAAGGAATCGATGATTACGTAATAACTGAAATGATAAATATCAATGATATCAATGTCGCCTATTAGTGCCAATTTAGCATATTTTTTTTTGTAAAACTTTATATTCAAAATATCTAAACAAATTTGAACTACACCATTTATGTATGTATATGTTTGTGTGTGAATAAATCTTTATAACATGATAAGAACAATGGTGAATAGCCAAATATGTATGATCTTTTGTTTGTTCCACAGCGGTAAAATAATTTTCTCTTTTTATTTGTGTGCCCACGTTTACTATGAAGCAAAATATTCCTTCGGCTGAAATATATATTTCCAGGGCTACAAGAGTAAGTTTGTGTGGAAAAAAAAAACAAAGAAAGGGCGTTGCGACACTTTAATGCATAACTTTCCTATTTGTCTGAATGTCTGTGGTTTCTGATACTGTACAAATACGAAAAGATAACAAGAGAAGAATGTATTAAATGCATAGATTTAAAGGTTCAATACTCTTTAGTTCTACCATTAATTAAATACAATGAATTGAGGAGAGATATCATCAAACCTGAACCATTTATGGTATTCCGAGATACCTGGAGATTAACGTGCATTACAATCCTTTTATAATCACACCATTACTTTTCTGCTTTTGAATCCTTTTAAAATTACACCATTACTTTTCTTCTTTTGAATCCGTTTAGACTGCCTGATAAGTTTATTAAAGGTGTAAACATCTATTAAAAAAGTATTAAGTGAGCTGTAATAATTATCTTTTCTATGACGAAACAGTACTTTAATATCTAATAGCTATTATAAGCCAGCAATTTAAAAAATTAAATATTTTATTCGTGATTTTACCTTAAATGAAACCCATGGTCTGACTTTACATTTGCAGGCTTAAAGGGACTGTAAAGGAAAAATGAAAAGTGGTCACGTGTCTCTGTCTGTATTATGTGACCAGTATACAGCATGCTCATTAGTGACGTAATACGGACTTACAAATAATATTATCAATTATATCTATTAAAAATAAAAATAAAAATTATAAAAAATAAATGGAGAAAACAAAAGATACAATTAAGTTTCTCTGGGATATCTTCGTTTTTAGATTGGTTGCATATTTGCTGAATATGATCTGTGTAAACCTACTATTTTCATACAAATTTGCACATATATGAATTTTCGTATAAATTTGACACAGTTTTGTATCAATTTCTCGAGATAGGAACATCAGATATAACATTCATGGGTCGCGATCGAGAGCTAAAGTGATCAGCTTTCAGCCTATACCCCTATTTTTCCTTTACAGTTCCGTTAAAGAAACTAAAGACGAAATAGCAAGGTACTCTCAATTTACGAGTGGCACGTCAGATTCACACTGGTCCCTTTCAAGCTTTGTCTGATCAATGATCATGAGATATCCACCATTTCCTCTTTGAAAATTGAATAATACACGATCTCTCGATAAAGTGACTTGAAGATTGCTGCTTCAAAAACAATAAAGAAAATTGTGAGAATTACTCTTCTTTTTAAGGTAGAAAAACGACGATATTTTCCCCCACGTAATTGATCAGATAAAGGTTTTAAAGTGCAACATTTTAAACCTTTACAGGGAAGGGTCATAATCAATTCGAATAGAGTCCAACTGTTCTAAAAATATGTATAGTTCAATATCTGTTTGAAAAGCAACATCTAATTGTTTTGATATCCTTGAAACAAATGTTTTAATATAAAAAAATATTTGAATTAAGATCCATTAGTAATGTCAACTTGTGCCTAGATCTGGGTAAATAATTATGTCATTGAAATATTGACAGCAGAGAATAATATCTTCCAGACAGAATATTAATGAAGAAATATTAAGTTTAATATTGATTTATATCTGTTATTCATAGAAAATAGAATGAAAGAACAAGAAACTAGCGAATTATATATTTAAAATATATTTAATGCAGAACATAGAACTTGTTTAATTTGTTTTATTGAAGGAAACACATCTACTACCAAAAAAAGCATTAGGTGGGAAGGGGGGGGGGTGTAATTTTTGTGCTATAAGCGTTTTTTTCCTAGCCAAAAGTTAGAACTTTAGTGTAGTGATTCTTGGATAGAGCATTGAGCATAGATAAATAAATAAACATAGATAGCTTATGTACGCAAAATCATTAAGAATTGTACAGTCCGCGAACTCATACTTCTAGGGGTCAAAGTGTACTTCAATGATAAGTGGGGTGGTTTGGTGTTTTAATGGATTTCATAACTATTAAACCACTCAGGAGTGAATTTTATTTTGAGAATATCACTGAGCAATATATCATATTGACGATAACTGAAGAAGGACATGAGAAGGACTAAACTAACTTAAATTTCTCTCTACAGAACTCATGTACATCAGAAGTACTCAATGACATAAGAACAGCAAATGTTCACAACCGACCTAGTTAATCTATATAATAGGAATATCTTTAAAACATCTCTGTACATTTGTATCTTTCAAGAGGAAAAATGTCGTCTTATGCACAATCTATCTTTATCTATGGCATTGAACCTCAAATTTAAAAGTGTCCATTTGAGATATTTAGATTAAGTGCTCGATATCCAATATCCACACACAAGTTCTGATCTCGGTGATAAGATTTTAAAAATAAGAAATCGCTATTCTAAAATCTAAAGTCTGAAATATGTATTCGAAGCTGAAACTTTTTATTTGAAGCGATTTATTGCAGCTAATCCGAGGAAACAGCTGATTCTTGAATCTCATGGCAATCATGAAATAAATATTATTTGAAATAATCTTTTTTTAAATATTTGATTTAATCGGACCCTGGTGGAGAGCGGAGTGGAGAGAATAGGAAGGATAATGTTCTGTTGACAGTTTTCCTCCCAACCCTGGTCTTTTCCGGTCTTATCCTCACCATCTCCATCTACTGCTGCTGGAAGATACACGCCGGGAACAGGTAGGAGTTCAAGAGAATGTAGATGTAATTTCAACTATTTATAGAGTAGCATGTCCGATTCACAACCCTCTTAGCTTGGTCCTTGTCCCTGCAGGAAGATGTGAATGAGATATCAATGTATTGAATGAGATATCAATGTTCTGAATGAGATATCAATGTTCTGAATGAGATATCATGTTCTGAATGAGATATCATGTTCTGAATGAGATATCATGTTCTGAATGAGATATCATGTTCTGAATAAGATATCATGTTCTGAATTGTGGAAATCGGGCATGCTTCTTTTTAAATAAGGGATAAATTTAAATTACAAGGACAGTCCCATAGACCGGTACTATGAGTGTTTAGAAATACAGATTAGTCCGGACCAAAAACAAAATATCACAGCGTATTTCAAGTTTAATTAAATTTAAGCAGCAAAAAAAATTTAGGATTCCCTTAATTATTGAGTGTCTACATTATAGTGCATAATGCACACAGTGCAGTGTAAGATGCATCCTATTCAGCACGGTATATGCTGAGCAGTATACAGTGTACTGTACGATTTTTTTGTACCTACAGTGGACAGTTACTTACTTACACTGGAGCAAAAATACCTAATTGGAGAACGATATTTTTGGTGTTGACCATCTTTTAACAGGTTGATTGAAGTTTTAGCTAATATCTGCTCCAAAACAAGGTTTCAGTGTAAACACAAGGAATTTAGTGGCTTCGTTAAAATTCACATTAGACATATTTAAAAAAAGACATATTAGAATTTTGCAGAAATTCCATGGAACAAGAATAGATAAAATGTCTATCACATATCTAATGTCTATAATTCGAACCAGAAAAATACAATTATTCTTGAAATTCTGATCCCAGACAATTAACACTGACAGCCCAAGTTCTGATTGACATGATTTGAATGTCGTGGTGGATAAATATCCCAACCCAACCTGTTTACAGAAAAGTCTGGATCACTGCGCCTAAAATGTGACACCGAACCCCTGAACGCTTTGATGTGAGGTTTAGCCTATAAGAATGAAATATATTGTAAAAATATACATTGTTCAAGTTGAAATATCAGACAGTGCATAGGCATAGACCAGGCAGTTCCAGTCAGTCCAGACTTTGCATCAACATATGTTCATTATTCTATTCAACATGCATAAATGATTAAATTTAGAACTTTTCAATTATTTTTATTTATAAAATATTCATATTTATGAGACGTTTTCAAGCAGTTAAACAAAGTTTACGATAAAAATAGAGAAACATGTTCTAATGGGAAGAGGGGATAGAAGGGGTAGGAGGGGCAGANGGAGGGGATAGGAGGGGTTAGGAGGGATTAGGAGGGGGTAGGAGAAGGGGAGTGAATCTGGGGGGAAAAAAGGAAGAAAAGAGTAAAAAGAGAAAAAAGAAAGAAAGAAGAAACTATGTATGACGAAAGTAGGGAGAAAATGGACAAAAGATGGAAGAACGGATAAAATAAAAAGAAAGGAGGAAAAAAAGGAAATAACAAAGGGAAGTAAGACGGGTAGAAAAGGGGATGAAAAATAGGTTAGTGCATCATAGATTTTGTAGAATTAAAAATCTTGATCGGTAAAAAATAATTTTTCAGAAAAACATAAAAAATTATCAAAATTGATGTCTTATGTCCTTATACATTGATGTATATATGTGTATTAGATATATAGAGAGGCACGACCTAGATTGAAATGAATGCAAGACATTTTAAGAGAATTCCTCAACCAAGTTAAATTCGTACTTTTCCCGTCTAGCCAGCCTGGGCTGGGGTGGGAAAGGGGAGTCAATAAAAAGTTGTATTTCATGAATTAAATGCTTCACAACTTTCAGCATTTTTCAACACATAACATTATTTAAAGATGCGATAAATTTTGTATCAAGTAATAAATTATTTTGATAAGATTTTCTTAATTTTTTTTTCAAGATCTAGAAAATTAAAATAAAAGGTTTCATATAACGAACCCAGATATCATTATTCCTCTAAAATTGATTATCCATTATCCCATAACCGTACGTTTTTTAATCTCCTATCAAAATCTCAATGCGATCCAGTCGGCCGATGTTTAATTTATTTCATATATATTTTTTCTTTTTAGAGTTATAGATAAATATCTAGGTTTGAATTAAGGCATGAATACTAACCAGACAACCACTACTAAATATTTACTTTAACTCCTAAATATACTGTCAATTCTTCACGGCTTTTCTATTCAAGCCTATTCTGGTTCACAATAATGCAGTTGCTTGCTTATTCTGCTCCAGACCGAAACCAACCAATTTACCCCCTGTAAAGTATAGAGGTTTGGTTTATTCTACTCATTTCTGTAGAGGTCAGGGTTATTCTGCTATTCCCTGTAGAGTATAGAGGTTTGGTTTATTATGTTAATTTCTGTAGAGGTTTGGGTTCTTCTGCTTATCTCTAAAGTGGTTTGGCTTATTCTGCTAGATATTTGGTTTAGTCTGCTCATTCGGATTTAATATTATAGTTGGTGTATTCTACATAATCCATTAGAGTGTAAAATTTTGGATTAGTCTGCTCAAACCTGTAGATGTTTGGTTTATTCTGCTCATCCCTGTAGATTGTAGAGATTTAGGTTAGTCTGCTAATCCCTGGAGAGGTTTAGGTTTATTCTCATATTTTCTGTAGAAATAAGGTTTTGTCTCTTCTCCTCTGTAGAAATATAGTTTTTCTCCTCTATCCTGTAGTCTCCTGTAAAAAAGGGGGTTTTCTCTTCTCACCTGTAGAACTAAGGTTTTTTCTAATAATCCTAGTGACCTTTGCTTTAAATGTTACATGGTGACATGCTTTTTCATGTTGAGTTAAATTTTGTTTTTACAGATTAAATCCCCCCCCCCCTGATTACTGATACTCTGTGGAGAACTTGTTTAGACCATGCCCTATCCTACAGAATACAATTCTTAAACTTGATTCAATAGTTTAACTAAAGAGTGTCCGAACCAATGAAACCAGGAGAGATCTCAAGATACAGATCAGACCTGAACCTGCTTCTAGATAGGAGTAACGCTGCTGGACAAAAAATATACAGTCAAGTTTTTCTACACGCAGCATTATTGGTAGTTTGACAGATCGTTATTTAAGAGGATTAAATACAGGGCCGCAACTAGGGGGGGGGGCGTTCGGGCTCACGTCCCCCCCCCCTGTAGGGTCATCTGTAAGGTCTGTAAGGTCATCTGTAGGGTCATCAAAAAATGTACATGAAATTCTTAATTTTTAAGCTTATTTTACAACCATTAAAAAATGCATAACAGGCATAATTTCAAGCGATCCTCCATTTAAATAGATATATGCAATGGTATCCTTAAAACCTTTCTCTGATTCGTATTTTTTTTCCTTGTCTCTGCTTAACAAATCTGCTAGTGGCTTCAATAGAGAAACTGCAGTTGAAAATTCTTGGGTAGGAAAACAGAATATCCCCATAAAATGTTCTCAAAGAAAAGATAAAAGGGACTGTTTTAAAATAAAGGGTCACTTGAAATTACGCCGACAGTACCATGAAACAGATGATCCGAATAGGACACTTTCTTCAAATTTTTAAAAACAAAGAAAGAGGTTCAATACTTACATGCTGGCAAGTTGCACCTTCATTTAACACTATTTAACAATATCTGCCCTGTTTCATTTTGCAAAAATTTAGATTTAAAAAAAACTTTTTTTACATGTGAATAAAAAGTTACTTTGTTTCTATATATTATTGTTCATTTAAATGCTGTGTTGATTATGGTTTAATGATATATAATTAATTGCAATGAAAAGTTTAAAGTGGAATTTTTTGTACCATTTCACAAATTTAAAGTAAAATCAAAATGCGGCCCCCGCCTCGTTTACTTTGTTCATTTGGTGCGCCCCCCCCCCTTCATAAACACCCAGTTACGGGCCTGATTGAATAAATAATAGAATTCGAAAAATATGTTTAGTATATATAAATATATATAGATATATATGTATATGTAGATGAAACTACAGTAAGACGTAGGATTAAAACAATATCAATTGGGTTCAGGGATTTCATGTTTAGGGTAAAAGGATTATATTAAGAGCATTATTAACAGAAGTGATGTGGATAACAGGATTAAAAAGGTTCGAACAAATCTGTTTGGGATTATAGGATTAAAAATGTATGTAGGATTAGAACAGAACTGATTCGGTTAACAGAATTGGAATAGATAGGATTAGAAATTGTATTTGGTAAGATTAAGATTAAAAGAATTAGAATTAGAAAATGACTAAGAACTAAAATTATGACAAGAATTTCTACAAATAATTCTTAAGAAATTACAAGACATGTGATGGTAGGTTTTGAGTCATAGGAAATGTTGAGCCAGGTTGAGTCATACTCACTTCGTCCTGAAACATGTTTAGATAAAAATGCATCTCACCCTGCCCCCATCATAGCTTACTCAGACAAAATTATCTAAAATTTACATATTCTTATTCATTTATCGTTGATTTTCTTGTTTTATCTGTTAAGAGTGCCAGTTGTGCTCCTACCTATCTATCTATCAACATTTTTCGTGCAATGCTTAGTTAGGCTGAACTAAAATAGGCCTGAATGAGACATGCAGTAGACTTACATACTTAGATAGCAATATATAGCCTGATAGATAGATAGATAGGTGGATAGCTATATAGACAGAGCGACATGGAGATAGATAGATAGATAGATAGATAGATAGATAGATAGATAGATAGATAGATAGATAGATAGATAGATAGATAGATAGATTAATACTAACTGCCTGAGTCCTCAGGCACACTGCCTGAATGACTGCTTTTGCCTGTAACAAACTAAATCTTTGTTTTGACCCACTTTCACTTGTCAGATTTTGATAAAATTTAGCTTTTTGGAAAGCATATGACATAAGGAAACGGATTTTACAAGTTTTGCGAAAAAAATTGCAAATTTTTTGCAAACAACCTGTCAAAGGTCATTTAAAATTTGCAAAAATTTTTGCATATTTGAAATGGCATGGTCAAGGGCTTTTCAAAAATGTATAATTTTTCATTTTTTGGCCAATTTTTTTTTTGCAAACATTTTTACTATATAACTGGATTTTGCGATAAAAAATTCAATTTTTGCAAATTTTCAAATTTTTTTGCAGATTCTAAAAGTAAAGCACAAGAGCTTTCTAATGATGTATCATTTGTCATATTTGAACATAAAACATGGGATTTAGAGGGGGGGGGTCAAATTGACCCCCCCCCAGCATATCCTGGTTTTCAAGTACCTCAGCAGGGATAGGGTTAAACTTCACAAATACCCCCTAAGTTAAAAATATTGATTTATAATCTTGAATATGACACTAAATAAATAAACAATAATATTCGGAGTTTATATGATAATCCTACAGGTCAATTTATTTCAATATTTGTTCATTTATGCATTTATTATTAAGGGGGGGGGGGTAAAGTATAACGGATGGATGATGTTTATATCCAGGCCATGTTTCGATATTTTTTTTATCAAAACAGCAAACATACAGATTTCATCGTCATAAAGTCATAGATTGAAATAAAAAATCTAAATCATGATTAAATATTGCCATTTTTTATTGAATGATATTACTATTAATGTTTATTGTTAAAAATTCAGCTGAACTTCAAGAATTTCCGAAGAAAAAAATGTACGGCTATATCTTTTAAATACTTGATTTAATCTCATTCTCCAATTTCATTAGAAGAAATAAAATGCATAATATCAGATAATGATCTCAGAAATAAATATAAATTTTTAAATATGGACAGTTAAAAAAACTTGTTTTTCAATTCGTGTATAGATTAAATACGTATGTCAGATGTTTATAAATGACGGTTTACTGACGTCACACCTTTGTTCATTCATAAGTTTACCCATGCAAATACCGGTGTTTACATTATATCAGAAGAGACAATAGCTAAAGGCAAATTATTTTTCAACAAATATTTCATAGACATAAATCTGTATCATTCATATTTGGGTTGAGCTTTGTTAGTTTTTTGGTTTTCAATAAACATTGAAACTGCTTAACCGGTTATGAACAAAATGTTACTGATATCTCACCATGTGACCTTATATAGGGTAAGTTTATCTACTATTTAATTCCTAATTTTTAAAAAGAAAACAGAAAGTTTTGCTCATGTGTACATTAATAATCTGTTTTAAAAATCTTGTTTAACAGTTGAATATTGAGCAGATACATATTTAGATAGAAAGATGGATGATATTTTGTGGTGTAATCTCAAGAACTTCAAATATACAGATAGATAGATTGAGAGAGAGAGACTTAAAGCTTTACAATTTCATCATGCACTTCTGAACGCCGATATAGTCCTTCATCCGTCCTTGAACAGCTTAAAACAACAGCTAAACTTACGTTACATAATAATAATGAAATAATTTGGGATAAAACGTTAACATTCCTTTTTTTCTGATTATCGATTGCTGAGTAATCTGTGAGTTTATCTCGAAAATGGAGTTCAAATTACCTGAAAACTGAATAGTCTACGCTCGCGCCCAGTGTGAACTCACAGTTTCTGTAGATAAATAAGGATATTGTTGTAAATTGAACACGGTACTCTACACAAGGAAACTACGCAGACAGTTCCTTTAAGCAAAAGATATAAACCAATCTACTTATCTTAAAAGTAATGTAGCCAACCATTCTATCTGGGGACTGAGCCCTTGTACTGTACTGCCCTTCTAAAAGCACAGAAATGAAGTTGATTCTTTTTTAATTACTTAAAATTTCCTTTAAACTCAATAAAGTTAGTTAGCACTCACTGGACTTACCAAGAAATTTCGAGAAGATGGATTAACGAAATTAGTCGTTGACCACAAACTCAAATTTTCTAACCCCTCTATCTTTTCAACCTTAGCATAAAAACTTTGATATTTCAAAAGGAAGCTTTTTTAATCTTTCTGAATTCATATTTTGAAATAACTAATCTCTATAACAAATATACAAGATACTATAGAAAATCTTAGTTTGTATCATTCTATTATCTTTCACATTCTTTATCTGGTTTAATTTTGCCAATATAGTTCAAGATCATTTCAGCAAAACATTTCATTTATTAACAACAAATTTACATAAGTTATGAACATAAATAAACATGAAAAAACGGTCAATACTTTTTGAATAATTATATAGATAAATACTTCAATATCATACCATCATGGTGTAAATTCCGAATCTTTTCCACGTCATGAATTTAGTATGATCGATTTAAGCGTAATATGATGAAATTTGACGACACTTTTAGCCCAACATACAGAAATCAATTATAATTTTATCAAATATTAATTGTAAATTATCTACGCCGCCGGCTACAAATCTGTGCCTTATTACTGTTTAGTGTTTAATGAATATTTCTAAAGACATCGGTATTTTTGTTTATAGCTTTCATTCAAATAGTTTAACACTCAATTTTTGTTTGAATCGTGTAGCCGGGAATATAATCTGGTATTCGGGTGTATAATCATTATATCCCGGTCTGGGGAATCCGTATAAACCGGCTCCATACATAACATATACCCTGAGTTCCTGGAACCCGGTTGGTTCAACTTATTTCACCACGATTTGAATGAACACGGTAGAACGGAGAGAGAAGGAGAGAGGTTTAGTTCTCTAATAAACTCTCACAGGAACGGATACGTTGCCTAGCTGTATATATTTAAAAATAAGAGTTATAAATCAGGAACACTTGATATTCTAGTTCTGTACCTCGCTATTTACTGTTATAAAACTTCATCTATAAGGTTTGTTGCATACAATTTTTAAAATTTTTATTATTTAGTTTTTTCTTCCTTCTGTTCCGGGCGGCTGTTTCATATCAAGTTTTAATTTTTAAGAAGTTTTTGATAAACGTCCCCATATTGGGTTTAGTTTATTGTCAGCGGTCCTAGCTACACAACCTACTGTGAGTGTGGGGGGAAAGCTTGAGATTGCAAGCAGTCCAACCTTGTGCCAATTTTAATATTTAAACGAGTTTTATTATCAAATATCAAGTATTCGTTTCGGCATTTTTTTCGATAAATTTGACCCCCCCCCCCC